GCCGAAATTCGTGAGTATAAAGAGTTTTAGATGCTGGCCAACAAGGGTAATGCTCGAAATTTCTATGAAACCTACATGGCTGACCAGATATTCACCATGTGCCAAATCATGGAGAAGACCCATAGGAAGGAAGGAATCGATACGCCGCTATGTTGAAAGTTAGTATACCTGCAAAGTTTATATGGATATGTAAACTGGCGCTGAAGAGTACCAGAAGCGCAGTTGGAGTTAGCAAGGACCTCTCCAACCTGTTCGGTACCAAAGGAGGTTTTAGACAAGGTGACTCTTTTTCGTGTGATTTCATCAATACGACACTGGATAAAAATATAACAGCTGTTTTGCTAAATATATAAGATTTTGCAAGATCTTAACAATCACTCCGTTAAGTCTGCTTTCACCACGCTTGAGAAAGAAGCCAATCGAGTAGGTGTGGTAGTGAACGAGGCCAAGACGGAATATCTCCTGTCATCACACAAACCGTCATCGCATTCGCGACTCGGCTGTCACGTCACTGGTGATAAACATAACTTTGAGGTCGTAGATGATTGCGTCTATCTAGGAACACCTATAATAATGTCAGCCTAAAAATTGAACACAGAATCACACTTGCCAACAGCTGTTACTTTGGACTAAGTAGACAATCGAAAAGTAAAATTCTCTCTCAACGAATCAAAACCAAACGCTCATCAATCTGGTACTTCTAAATGGTGTAGAACGATGAACGATGACAACATCTGTGAGGTCGGCTTTTGGGAGCTTTTGATAGCAAAGCTGTTCGTAAGATTGATGTTGTTCTGTGCGTAATGTACGATTAACTGTACTAGTGACATAGTTTAGCTCATAAAAAGACAGAGGCTACACTGGTTAAGAAATGTGTTCGAATGGACGACGGCACTTCAGCTTTGAAAGTATTCAAAGCAGTAGCCGCTGGTGGAAGCAGAGAGAAGGACCTCCACCAATTTAAAAGAATCAAGTGGAGAGTGACTTGGTTCCAATATTTCTAACTGACGCCAAACAGCACACAAAATGTACTAATAACCGCTATTGTAGATTAGGTTATAATCGCCCAGGCGGTATCTATGAAGAAAAGGAAGAAGATACATTTATGCTTAAACAATTCTTTAGAGTACTTCAATTAATAGGAGGAAAGAGTTTTTGAAATTTTCCAAAAATATAGGAAAATATGATCATGTGTATTAGCGGCTAAAAATCAATGAATTTACCGTTACTGACTGATCAAAAAAATATGAAAATGAAATGTAATAAGTAGTTTGAAATTTCAAATATATGCTTAAATTCTAAAATATTTAAAAAAGAAAAGTGCCACAGCAAATTCTCTATGGACAACTTGATTCTTATTGTTACATAGGACATTGCTGTTACTGAAAGTGTAACGGAAATTTGACGTGTCCCTCGCATGTCAAACAGCTAACAAAAACGTGTTCTCTCACACTGATTGTTAAACAGAATTTTTTGCCAGGAGTTTCCTCTTTTCCTCTCAGTTCTACAATATATTTGGTCATTTTTTTAAATTTATCTTATATACACAGGTACATATGTTCATATGTATGCATGTATGTATGTATACTTTTTACACTTTCATAACAAAAAATGCTGTTATATGAAAAACTCTTTTCTAACATTTGTTTTTATAATTTATGTATGTAACTTGTCGATAGTAGTGACATGAGCTGGATGCTCTAGCTGAAAAATGTATGATTTCCAGAAATCTACTATTAGTATGTACATATGTATGTATGTGTATGTATTTGTAAGTGTACACCCACACATCGTTGTCAACTACATTTTATAGGACATGCACATGGTGCTCCAATATGATAGAAGCCTATAGTACAAACCCAATTGAAAATACTACATACAAATGTACATACATACATACATATAAACATGCACTTACAATGACATAGACCCGACTGTGAAAACTTACTTGGAATAATATTTTCGAACGAAATATAAAACAAAAAGTTACAACAAAAACCGTTCAACGATATGAACAACTTCAATTGAGGTCATGTCCAGACGCCATCGACCCATCACAGCTGCCAACATTGTGACGATGCTATCAGCGAAAACACGGTATATGTATGTACATATACATATAGTACATATTTGTACATAATAGGCAGCCAACCACTCAACGCCAACTACCTGACAACTAAGCGGTATGACAGTAGCACCCAACACATGTGCACTCTCCTTGACAGAATTTTAATATGGCGTAGCATTTTCCCAGCAAACACAACAGAAACATATTTTTGGTTGGAGGAGCCTACATACACCCATGTGCTGATGTTTTTCTGTGAAAATTTGTGTATACATACATATGTATTTATGCACATACGTATATATGTAGAATTCTATACTTCATGTTCTCAGATGATCTTTAGACATATTTTTTGATCCGAAACCTCACATCTGATATCAAAACGTTTATATACGGGCTATACGAGGTGTGTTTAAAGAGTATCGCGAATTTTGAATTTTCGCGGGTTACGTATAATCGAAATTCGATTTTTTTGTGGCGTTATGTTGGCACTCATGTCTTTCGCTTATGTCGACAAGCTCGGTCATTTTGAGTGTTCACTTAATTGTTGACAGCTGCTTTGCTTGCACGTGTTTTGGATGGTCTTCGATTTTTACCTATTCAAAAAAAAAATTGAACAAATAACCTGTATCAAATTTTGTGTGAAAAACGAAATTAAGTGCGCGGATGCATTGCGAATGTTCACTGTGGCATACGAAGAAGCTACCTTGGACCGTAGCAACGTTTATCGGTGGTACAAAATGTTCTCAGAAGGCCGAGAAGATGTAAACGACGAAGAGCGTGCCAGACGCCCGAGCACTTCAACAACAGACGAAAAACTTAATTGCAGGGGCGTGGTGCATCATGAACTCTTGCCACAGGGTAGAACAGTCAATAAGGAATATTACCTGCAAGTTATGCGCAATATGCTCGAAGTAATCCGCCAGAAACGCCCGGATTTGTGGAAGAACAAAAATTGGCTTTTGCACCAGGATAACGCACCTGCTCACACATCGTTGTTTGTGCGCGACTTTTTGGCCAAAAACAACATACTAATGATGCCGCAGCCACCGTATTCCCCAGATCTGACCCTTTTGACTTTTTCTTGTTCCCTAAACTGAAGAGGCCTATGAAAGGACGACGTTACGCTACGATTGGCGAGATAAAGAAGTGCTACCATTTCAGATGATTACCATTTCAGATGCTTGTGTCTGAAAAAAATGGGTGCATGGCAGCTGCTGTATGTTACGGTCTTCCGATTTTAATAATTTTCAGTATCAATGTATAAGCCAAAACTAAAGCACCCCCAAGTACAATTTTTGCTGATATTAATTTCTTTTAACACATTAATTGGAAATTAATTTTCTTTTGCATTATGTTTATGTTTATATATTCATTTTTAATAAAGCAATATATTTTTTGTTATTTTTTTATTTGAAATGTTTAACATAAAATAGTTTACAGCAGTCCAAAATTCGATGGACAAAACTAAAGCACCCCGTTTTATTGGTGTTCAGAAAAACAGCTTTAGGGTAATATTTTGAAAATATCAAATTATCGATAACATCCTGATATATGGCCCCCAATGCTAGTTTCACAGCTTTAAATAATTCGTCCTTGGTTCAACAGTGTTCAATATTAATTTGCATAGTTACGATCACCCATAAGTTCTCAATAGGGTTGAGATCTGGGCACTGAGCAGACCAACTTAAAACTTATATGCTTTTACGTCTCAACCAAGCTTTAAAATGCTTCGGGGCATGCTTAGGATCGTTATCCTGCTGGTAACTCCATCATCACATTTTTCAAAATGTCAGTATACATGAAATGATCTATTATTCCTATTATTTGATCAATTGGTCCGTTACCTTGCCCAGATAAATGATTATTTTTTTAAAGTAACTTTTGATTTTATGTTTTTCTTTTGTGGTTCCAATACTTTTTTTGTAGCTCAATTCACCACTACTTGCCAAACTTCAATTGATAAAGTCAATATTTTTTTCAATTTTTGTTATACCAAACTTCAAAGTATTCCTTATTGAATTTTGTGGGTAAGAATTTTGGAAAGAAGAATAAATGATAGGAAGCAATAAATCAAAGCCTAAAGTTATGCAAAGATTTACGATCCTCGACGAAATAGTACCAATGTTTTTATCATTTATCATATCATTTATTAATACTAGCTCTATGCGGTGAGAAATGTCGGTCGACCCTTTGTGTTATCTTTCTGTGCTACCAACAGGCGGTAATGCACCATTAGCAGGGCTTTACGTTTTCTGTACCTGCTCAGTCCAAAGTAGCACATGTTGGCAAGAGTTATACTGCGTTTAATTTTAAGGCTAATATTGTTGTTGTATATTATGTATTTTTATAGACGATAGATTTTTATGGTTATTGCCGTTCACCAAACACGTTCAGGAGCAAGCGTGGCCTGTCTAAGTCATCGTTGTTATCTAAAGTGAGGCACAGGAAGCGAGCTGCTTCGACGGGTTCGTACCAAAGATATAGAGTTGTTAGGTGAGTAGGTTTTATAATATTCATAAAACTCTCACGACAGCAAGTTTAACGAACCGAAATTGACCCAAATTTTATCCAACTAATGGGTATGAAGACTTTCGGCGAACTTCCTAGGTAATCGTCAGGTAATTCATACTTTTCTTACAGCAGCCTACAATCCCAGCTCGGCCTTTCAGACATATAAAAAATGTGTTATCTAATCCTCGATAGCACTGTACGTAGTATTTCTGACATGAAATAAAGGCTCCTGGGCTTAGTATCAACTCTAGCATCCTTCATTTGGGAATAACACAAAGACAAATAATACAAATGGGAGGAGAAGCTCAGTCGGGCGACACTTCCCTACTTTGATTCAAAGATGTCACCGTTCGGCGATTAAAATTTGCATTGCGTAACAACAATAAAGATTGCACTTGATATAAACAAAATATAAATATATATATATGTACTATGTACATCTATCTATTTTCTGTTTATTTCCATTCAAATCACTTTAAATTTCCAATATTTCCTAACAATCTAGTTGACCGCACTTTAATTCAAAATCAATATATAAACGTTCAAAAATCGCCATTTCATTTGGTTACGTACACAATAAAATGCATTCACAAACATGCTAAAATAGCTGAGAGTACGATGCTAATTCCAAGTGTTACATAACCAGTCAAATAAACTTCAGTAATTTTCAGAAAACGGCCCGTATCCCATAGCAAATGGCGGACACCGCAACAAGAATGGAAAGCCAATGGAAATGCCAAAGCAAACTTAAGTGCAACCAGTGTGGCAGAACCTAAGTGCAGGCCCTCAATAATAGTAACGTAGTGCGAAATATCATGTGAAGACATCAATGCACCCAAGCCTAAAGCCCAAGCATAGCCAGTTAGAGCAAAGCCTGTACCGCGATGGGTGATGGAAAGCATCGATGTCAACTGTGGTTTATAAATAGTTAAATGTGGGGACAATTCACGTCCCAGACGTTGATTTTTCTCGTCAAATGTCTCCGCCTGAATCGCTTCTGCAGCTGGAACCACTTTCAACGATACTTGACGAGCTGGAGCAGCAATTTGCATCTTTTGAATCCCCTGTCGGAGGGCAGATGAACGAATAAGTGAACGAGTTATGGCATACCTAAATAATTAAAATTCTTTGTTAACAGGTAATAATTTTTATGCATAACACTTACATTTTTGCTACTTTGTTCCAACTTTGCCCTAATGTTTTTCTGTAGACTTTGATTGCGCTGTCAAACCGTGCTTGTTCTTTACGTCAGATTATCAACATTCACAATGAGTTGAGAACTAGTTATTATCCAACGTAAATTAACACTTCGCTTCAAGCTTGAGCGTTCTGCCAAAGAACGTGGTCTGCCAAAGAGCTACCGATATTCAAGTTTAATATTTCTACGTTTTCTTAAACTTCATTAATAAAATATGTGTACTTCTATTGCAATCGGGGATTTTTGTTTCCAGTTCAGTTTGCTTAATGCTACCAACAGACTATAAAAAATTGTTAAAGCAACTTATCTATTTTAAAAACAAAGCAAAACTTTTCGGATTTCTGAAGTTTTCTAGTAAAATATTGTGGAATTATCTTAATCTAAAAATTTCGCACACTGCAGCAAAGTAACGGCAAATAGTATGAATATGTATATATTTTAAGTGATAAAATGGCACACCTTAAATTTGTCAGGTTATCCGTTTGTTTTTTTCTTTTTTATTTCACACTTAAAATTCTAGTTTTGCTTTGAAGAGCTCATAAAATCAAATAATCAAACAACATACAAATGTTTTTGCAATAGTTTTTATTGGTGAAGCAGTAATTTAATTAAAACACTTCATTTGTTATTATTGTCAAGAGAATCAAAAATTTTAACAAATATTTCTGGACTAGGATCTAAAGCATTAAAATACATTCTATTGATCTGAAATTATTTGTAAGCTAGCCAAACCAATTGCTGAAATGAATGTAGCCGCCAGCGCTGAATAACCGGTCGCATAAATTCCTTTCAACGAGAGGAAGTTGCCTGTCTCCCAAATCAACACCCTGGTACTAGCCCACCAATGATAACAAAACGGAAACGCGATCAAAAATTTTAAAATAAAAATAGAAGTAGAATTTAATTGCAATCCCTCCAGCATAGTAACAAAATGTGCATTGTCGTGCGATGATATTAAAGCGCCAATTCCTAGGCTCCATGTATACATACTAAGTAAGAATGAGCTGGCTCGATTCGATATAGACATAACCGAGGTTAATTGGGGTCTGTAAATGCTCAAGTGCGGTGAGAAAAATCTTCCTAGACGGCGGTTTTTGGTTTCATGAGTTTCTTCTTCTCTGGGCGGAATAATTTTTAATTTTAATTGTCTAGATGTTGGTGTCCCAATAATTTTAGCATATTTGTTAAAAACACCAGAAGTTTTATAACAATGCGACAACATTTTCCTAAAAATATAAAGAATAGATATATTTATGAAAAAGTTGTAGAAAAAATATTGTTCTCACATATTATATTTCTTTCTTATTCTGCGTTCTGAAATGATAGATGTTCTGCAGCAAACTGTGACTTCAATTTTTTATTCTTTTAAAGAGCTCATCATATAAGGAACAAGTTGGTTTCAATCAAATTATTATTATTTTCTTTTCAAAAAATTTTCTTTCTATCATAATAGGATTTTTAACTTTTACTTTCTGTTCGTGCTACCAATTTCAATTACTATAAAATATATTTTCAACCTAATGCAAAATATTTAATTGTAGAAAATAGTAAAGAAAGGTAAAACGTAATCAAAAGAAACTTAAAAGCCTTGCTTTTTTTCTGATATATCGTAAAAATAAAATTAGGCTTACGCAGCTAGGACTTTCATTTGTAAAAATATATGACTAATTTTTAATGTGTCAATATCTTCAAGTTAAAATTAAAGCAAGATAAGATTTAGAATAATCTTATAGACTTAATTTATTTAATTGGAACAACTACTGCTTATGTGTTAACAAAAGTAACTGATTTAAATTTAAATGAAAAAATTGCTTTCGTGGATTTTGCAATTTTATGTCACGTGAAGAACATTTGTAGTTTGGTTAATTCCCATAGTCCTGATTCGACCTACATCCAAATTTAAAAACCATAAGCCGTTCGGAGGTGGTTTATTATAAACAAAGAACGTATATTTAATATTAATAACCGTTCTTTGGTATAAGCTGCAGATCCCTCCATATGTTGCAAAAACATAAACACGCATACCGCACACGAGGAGCTGACAGAGCGCCAAGTATATTATGCTGGATGCAAATTCACTCTATATGAATGAATATGAAAATTATAAAAAAACTAGAAGGCTTCTTCAAATCGGTTGTGCAAGTTATTTAATATACGTTCTTTGTTATTAATATACGATCTTTGGTATTGTGAATGTTCGGGAGATTTCAGCGAATTCCACGAATACAACTATGGCAATGTTTCTGAAATTCCGCTTTGTCTTGTTCAATTCTATTACTTTAGGTTGTTGTGTGGCAGCACTGCTTGTCCACCTTTCTTTTTGTTGTTTGCTGCAGACGTGAGCGCGTGGCTCGGTGTGACTAATTTTGTGAAAAAGTCTGAAGTCTCGAATTTTCCTAGTTTTCAAAGCCAAAAAACAACCGTAAAAATGAAAATCTACAAGGATATCATCACCGGCGACGAAATGTTTGCTGATACCTACAAAATGAAGCTTGTAGATGAAGTTATTTACGAAGTATACGGAAAATTAGTATCCCGTTCTCAGGGTGAAATTAATATCGAAGGCTTCAACCCATCGGCTGAGGAAGCTGATGAGGGCACCGATTCTGCCGTCGAAACTGGCGTTGATGTCGTATTAAATCACCGTCTGCAAGAATGTTTCGCGTTCGGAGACAAGAAATCGTTCACACTCTACCTCAAGGATTACATGAAGAAAGTTTTGGCCAAGTTGGAGGAAAATGCTCCTGATCAAGTTGAAGTATTCAAAACCAACATGAACAAAGTAATGAAGGAAATACTTGGACGTTTCAAGGACTTGCAGTTTTACACTGGCGAATCAATGGATTGTGATGGTATGGTAGCCATGTGTGAATACCGCGAAATCGACGGTACGAGTACACCCGTTCTCATGTTCTTCAAGCATGGACTCGATGAGGAGAAGTGTTAAAAGGCGAAACACCAATAATCACAATACCTTATACAAATATACAATAATTATTTCTGTTTAGTAAATATCTTAAGTTGCATTTGCGAAAATTTCCCTTAACATATTGTCCAGATCAGAAGCGAATTTAAAAATTGTATGATATATATTTTTGGTCTAGCTTTGAATATTATAAACTTTACAACCTAACACTCTTCATTGTAACTAAAAGCGATTATGTATTTTTGTTTTGTATGGAAAACGTCCATTTCTGCCTAATCAATTGTGCTAATTGCTCAAGGCAATTGAATTATTAGAAAATGAATCAGTTGAAAGCTTGTGTATACCTAATCGAGTAATTTTTTTTTATAAAAATTCTGATTTTTTGTTAATTTGTTTAAGTAAGAAAACATCAAAGTAAAATATGCATAATATATAAACAAAATGCTATTTTGAAAATATAGACTAAAACTCGTAAAAGAAAACTTACAGACAAATTAAAGAAAATCGTAAAATCAAAATCGCTTTATCATTTCTTGCAAAAAATTTTTGTTCATAAGTATATATTTACATAACCTCAAAAATAATTGGGTTGTTGGCAAATATCTTGCCATTGTATGCAATCGTCGTTGGTCTCAGCATTGGCGTCATCGTTGCAACTCACACCAACGCCTTTAAAACGACGTTTGTAAAAACTGGTACGTTCTATTTATTTAAAAAAGAACACAGCTCTTAAAATTTGGTGAGTTCATTTTTCCTGTGCGAATTGTGAAGTGCAACAAAGGTCATTGGCGTACAACACATATATAACTACAGTGATAAATATTCAATTCAATTAAATATTATGTGTGTGAGAAAGTGTCTACATATCTGTCTCTGCATGTATCATCTGTTGCATATACATACAAAAAAAAAGTACTAATCTACTGAACCAAAAAAAGATGTGTAAAATTATGTAGAGCATTTGGAAATGAAGCAACGATTCGGAAGTGAATTAAATACATACGAGGGTACGTAATTAAAGTCAAATGTGGTGGTTTTACGATCATTTAAATTAAAAGGTGAAAACATACATATTGAATTCGTGAATCTCATTTCTTATCAAAGGTACGCGTTTGAAAGGAGTGTAACCTCTTTTAACAGTAACTTTGAATCTCCTTTAGAAAAACTTTGGATAGCTTGCGGTTTCCATTTAAATCATTTGCGATTTTTTCAAAAATTTATTGGAAAATTATACTTCAAATATTTTAAATACATTATTTCATACACACAGTTGGAAATTATTTAGTAATAACGCTTCTGATTCTCCTGTTTGGAAACAGGATTTGTAGTTTATTGTATAATTATACACATTCATACACACTTTATACGAGTATTTACATAGATGTTATTAACGGATTTGATCACTCGTTTCAATTTAGAAAATTATTAACCAACTTTCTATTGATTCTTATATTGGAATGATTTCATTAGAATATTTTGTTAAAGAAGATCTTCAAAAATATGTATACATTTTTGTTATTCAAATTAATTATTTCGAACATTCACACGGTCATAAAATAAATAATAATTATTGTGGATAACGAAAGCTGATATAATAGCGTGCTAAAATATTGAACATAATTTTAACACTAACCTTTTTTTTCGTGAATGTACCTAAATACATAATAACATAGTTAGAAAACTAAACATTTAGTTCGGTAAAATAGAGCTTTCTTCTTTGCTTTGAAAATAACCTTTTTTTGTTCTCATCTGCTCTTTATGTTAGGATACGAAAAAAGTTTTAATATCTCGGTTCGTTGCACTCGGCTATATATCACCTCTATCACACATAGTCCAGTTGTATGTAGATCTGTTTAACACCTATTGATTCAAAAATCATACGCGCATGTGTCACCACATATTTGGGATCTACGTTTTTCGAAACTTCCAGCTTGATGGCTCCTACATACACGTCCGAACACAACGTCCAAAAGTGTGGCTCCTGTACAGCATAAACTCCAGCCAAACCAGTTACCTTTTGATAGCACTGTGGCAGCGCGCGATCAAGCGTTGATGGTTGTCTCTGCATAAGTATAAGTATTGATTCTTTAATAAGACCCAATACGCTCATAGCGATAAGCAACGCAATGAATATCGAGCAAATCGGATCGGCAATCATCCAACCGAACATTTGCATCAGCACTGCTGAAACAATAACGCCTACAGAACCCAGAGTATCTGCTAAAATATGTAGAAAAACACCACGCATAATTTGTGAATTGCTCCCCGATATGTCGTCACCTCCAATATGCGAATGACCATGGCCTCCGCTGTGACTGTGGCCGTGTCCTATTAAAAAAAATTCAATATTTTATACACTTAGTTACATTTGTATAAGAGAATATTATGTTTTACCTACCAACATCTAATGCAATTGTCTGCTGATTGTGATTGCTTAAATCAATATGATTATTTGAACCATGCGAATGGCCATGACCACCACCGCCATGGGAGTGACCATGCCCTCCCCCACCTCCGTGTGAATGACCATGGCCGTGTTGGAATGCATATATACCAACTAAATTTACCAGCAAGCCCAGCACTGATACAACAAAAAGTCTTTCGTGTTTCACCTCTGGTGGCTCAATTAATCGCTCTACTCCCTCTGATAGAATAAAGAAAGCTATAAAGAGTAAGAACAAGCTATTAACGAAGCCAGCTAGCACCTCAGCGCGAACATAACCGTAGGAAAATTTATCATTGGCTTTCCACTTTGTGATAACTGAGGCAGCCAGACCTGCCAATAAGCCAGTACAATCGAAGAACATATGAAATGAGTCGGATATAAGACCTGTAATAAACACACATTTGACATATCACAATTCATAAGTAGTATACAAGTATAATGTTCATGTTACAAAATATAACTTAACCCAAATTGTTATTAAACGAACTATAAATAACACTATGAAATACATTAAAATATGATTTTTTTGTGCAAAGAGTTTAATATAAGGGGATTTGCCAAAATTCATAATTAAAATTAGCTAAGTGTATGTTTTTATGTTCAAACTCGTATGTAAATAAAACAATATATAAAGTTTGTGACACGTGAATACAACCGATTAGTACCGCTGTGTCGCGAAAGTATATAAACAAATGTAACCGAACAACAAAGATAAGATTACGCATGTATAATCTAGCACTAGAAACAGCAATAATTCTATTATCGCTCACAAACGTATAGAATATATATATATCAATAGCCACATGCTCACCCAAACTATTTGTCCATATGCCATAAAAGAGTTCCACGAAGGCAAAACTTAAATTAAGTAACAGAAAGAGGAAAAGATTTCGTGAATTACGATCCGAAAATATTAGACGTTTCCAACTGTTCAGCTTTTCTTTGATACGATAGCTGAGATTGCTACGATCCTTGTGCGTTAACGGTATCATTTTATGCTCTATAGGTTTTTCCTGTACTGCAATGGTAATAAAAACAAAAAAAATGTATATAAAAATTATCTAGTTTTATAATTCATTGTTTTATGTTACTTGGTTTGCATACGTGTTTTTATTTAAACTTGTGAACGGGTTGGTCTACTTTTCTTCTTGTTTATGGTACTTTTTTATTTTTGTTGGTTTGCGGCTGTTGATAATCTTCTCTTCCGTTCCTGGGACTTTTTTGAATGATTTTATAACTATAATTTAAAGGTTTCTATTTCTTATTTACTACTAATTAAGTGCATTAAAACTATTATTTCATTGTTATTAACATTGATTTAAATGTAAATTTATCCTAAATAAGTCGAGTTATCAAAATTAATTTTTGGATGATTCGTTTTAAAGTGACGTTTAATCTTTCTGCTGACGTTTATCATTAACGTCGTTCTTGATCTTCCTTATTAAAAATTCACAATGATATTGAGAATCAAAAAAAAAGTTATCAATTAAATACCAAAGAACGTATTTTAATATATATATATATCTTCTTTGAAAATACCAGAGAACGTAAATATAAACTGTATTTACGTTCTCTGACGTAAATAACGTAAATATTTACGTTTTCTGCCAAAATTTCTCTTGGAAAGGTATCAAAACATACACAAAAGCCCAGTTGTATGAGAATTATCAAAAATTGTCGAATGGAGCTGTTAAAAAAATAAACAACCGAAATTTTGCTAAAATATTTAGAGTAAATTGAGAAAAATTGAAAATGTGACATCAACAATTATTAATTACTTTATATACGTTCTTTGCTTTCAGTCTTCTATTTCGGTGGAAAAAATTTCTTAAAAAGAAGTTAAAATATTTTGTGAAAGCATATATTTTTTTAAGAAGCAGCAAACTTAAAATTTATCCAATTGTTATTCGTCACAAAAAAGAATTTTGTGGAAAAGCTCAATCTAGTGGAATGTGTTTAAATTGAAGTGGTAAGTATGACAAGTATGGCAACTACAAGCAATGTAGAACTAATTGACTTGGTGTTGTGGTAGCACTGCTGATTTCCGCCCTCCATCTTTTTGCTTTTGGTTTCTCACGATGGTGAGTCGTTTGCTAAAAATTTCTGCTAAAAAAGTTTTGTTTCTGTGCGAAATATAAAAGAAATGTGGTCGTTTAGTATTGTTTTAATTATAAGAAACATTTTCTATCAATTTATGCAAGGATAGCACAAGTTGCCGTACATTTCTAATGATATATGAAAGTTTAATGGGCACATGGTGCTCAAAACGAGAAATAAACTGCCCGGCAATAGAAACAGAACTTTTTGGCTGTCTAACCTTAAATTTATGTGAATGTGCATTAAATTATAAATTTCGAATTTGTAGCCACCAAAGAAGGACGCCAAATCGTCGGCTAAACAGCCACAAAAGACACAGAAGAAGAAGGAAGGAAGTGGTGGTGGTAAAGCCAAGAAGAAGAAGTGGTCCAAAGGCAAGGTCAGGGATAAGTTGAACAATCAAATTTTGTTCGACAAAGCTACCTATGAGAAGCTCTATAAGGAGGTACCACAATACAAACTTATCACTCCTTCAGTGGTATCAGAACGTTTGAAAATTCGTGGATCACTAGCCAAAAGAGCGTTGGTAGAGTTGCGTGATAAAGGTTAGCAGTAATACTTTGTTTTGCATATAAACTGCTATAATATTATGATCTTTTTCGCAGGTTTGATTAAACAGGTCGTGCAGCATCATTCGCAGGTGATCTATACACGTGCTACAAAGGGTGACGATGCGTAAATGTTTTACCTTTTCTTGGTCAACAATACAAATTATTAATGTATTTAAAACGCCTAAAGGTAGAATAAAATAATTCGTTTCCATTTTTAAGTAAAAAAAAGATATCTTTTGCTGAGCGAAAACTAGTTTCTATATGAAGAGTGTATTTAAATCTTAATGTGCAGTAAACTCAACGATACATGTTAATTAATTGGGTTTATTCTACCAGCAAAGATCCAAAAGCGCGACGAATTTTGAAATAGGTTTGATCTTCAACATTTTGTTTACCAAAAATGGCTTATTACAACTTAAGATTTAAAAACCAAATATTTGGTGACCAAAATTAAAAAAAAGATATTTTGTAATGAAAATACAAAATATTAATATGCCGGCTGCTAATATGATGTCTTTGGCCGGATTAAAATCGGGTTCGTATCGGTGTAAATAACCGACTGTCGTCTCTACAACAGGCATTCCTTACCTCGGGGTAAATTCTTGAATCCCTAACCCGCGGGGGGTGATGAAAGTGTACATTTTGTTCTGATTTTTTTTTTTCCTTGTAAATAATGTGTTTACCAATGACAAGGGGACGAAGTTTTCTAAAAATTGGTATTAGACGGTGCACAAAACGTTAAATTTGCACATTTCCAACGAATGGAGGGAGATTTACAGTCTTTTCTAACCATATTCTAGGATTTTTATGAGGAGCTACTTATATATACATCAACAGTCAGAGGGCTGTATTACATGAAATTGGCTCATTTCGCATTGATGCAGTCGCTATTGCTAACGGCTTAAGCTGAAATCAGAGGTGTATTAACTTTTCTTTACCACAACAGCTGATCCAACCAACTTGAGTAGCAGCACTGATTCCGTTCATATATACCATAATTAATGCCGTTTACCAAAATCCCAGCCGTAATCCCTTAAGTTTCCGTTTATGGCTACGAACCAATGACTCAACATACCCATACGAATTTGGTTATAGTCGTGGCTTTATGGTGCAGCACAAAGGCGAATTCAAACAAGGTGAAATTGTTTCATCAGCTGATGCAAGGCGAATTTAGAGCTTTGACCGTACCAAACAAGACGAATTAAAGCTTTGAATGTAAAAAAAGGCGAATTAATGAAAGGGGAAAAAATATCTTTATTTTATTATTGCCTAAAGATTATAAGTATCGTGGAAAATTCTTTGGATTGTGAACAAGTGTCCAAACTTTGCATCATTTTCTAGTACACACAAAATAAAAAATTTTGAATATTTTTACGTTTCAAATAGTAAATCATACAAAAGGTAGGTTAACTAATAACATGGCTTAAACTTCTTCCATGTATTGAATTCGCCTCATCGTAAGAATATTTCGTTCATTTTCTGTTTGTTAAATTTCTTTGAAAAATATATATATTGATATATCTAAATATTTAAGAAAATATTGTTATTCAGTGCAACTCTGTGTAGAGTTGCAAGGCCACAATTATCAAAAATACATTTTTTTCGCCAATAGAGGGCGTCGTTGTTTTTCTGTCATGTGATGAGTAAAGTTTTTCTCGGTCACCTGTCACTGAAATAGTCTTGATATTTTGTAAGTTTTTTCACTCCGTTAATTTTACAATTTCTGCATCTAATTCCTGCGTATATAAATTTAAATTATTGAATTTTATAAATTGATTACAGACCAACCGTGAAAACTTGAAGAATGGCCCAGATACGCAGCGTTGTTCTCCAAACATTCTCGTGGCTGTTTTTGGCTACTAGTATAGTGCTTATCTTCCAATTTGTACTCACGGGAAAAGGTGAACGAGTGAGTGTTGGTTGGTTCCTTGCATCCACATCACCATATATGTGGGCATGTCTGGGAATAGGCTTGTCAGTGGCATTGTCTGTGGTAGGAGCTGCACTGGGCATTCATACAACAGGCACCAGTATTGTGGGAGGTGGTGTAAAAGCTCCTCGTATCAAGACAAAGAATTTGATTTCAGTTATCTTCTGTGAAGCAGTAGCCATTTACGGTTTGATCACTGCGATCGTTTTATCTGGTCTTTTGGAATCATTTACGATGTCGGCAGCACTTGAAAGCCAAAGTGTAATGAACAACAATTGGTTTGGTGGATATGTAATGTTTGGTGCTGGATTAGCAGTGGGTTTAGTAAATCTGTTCTGTGGTATAGCTGTTGGGGTTGTTGGCTCCGGTGCTGCGCTTGCTGATGCTGCTAATTCAGCATTATTCGTGAAAATTTTAATTGTGGAAATTTTCGGTTCAGCTATTGGACTTTTTGGATTAATCGTGGGAATTTACATGACTTCAAAAGTAAAGATGGGTGATAAGAAAGACTAAATTTTATGTAAAGATGAGAATATTGGTACGAGCCCAAAAGAACAGAGATATAAGCAGAACTCAAAGTACCAAAAACATATATAAATTAGCCAACGCGCTCTTTATAGCAAACAAAATTCCAGTCCGAAACAGAGATAAAACCATTGGATCAATCAATGTTTCTGGATTTTACTTAATCGTATTAGATGTATATATTTTGTTTATTCATTATAATTTTAACCTGCATAAAAAGAGCACAATGGATCACTGAAATTCGAAATAACCACAATTTATCCAACTCATTCCATATTTGACAAATATTTGATGAGCAAAGTATTTAATTTTCATAATTTTTGGTAAATGCTAACATGCCAGCGAAATGAAATGATTATATGATGAAAAAGCCATAATATTGGAGTAACAGCTAAAAAAAAAACGAAAGTAACGAAATTACAATCAAGCATACGATATATTCTCTCCTTTGGAATAAGCCAACAAAACGTGCATATTCGATTTTTGACGGTGTCACACAACACAATTTCTTGGGACTTTGTTGCAGTGTAGTATTGTTGTGTTATGTTATTATACAATAATTTAATTAAGATTAGATACTTCGGCTAGTCAAGTCCGATTCAAACGAATTTCAATTGTGTTATGTTAACAACTTGTACATAAACCTCAGCATCAAATAACATCAATTTTATTTACATTGAAATTCTTTTTGAATCCACTTGCGGCACGAACTATACGATATTATATAACCCATAAGTGTGTGTTTCCTTTATGTAAATTATTTATTATTAATCTATAAATAAATGCCAATAATTGTTTTATACATTTGGTTGCGTATTAAGATTAATTCTATTGATGGAATAATCCCTGTATCATATTGCATATATTAATGTATAAAAGTTTTATCGCAAGTTCTCAACAATAAACTTATGTTGCTGGTTCTCTTTAAAGGAAATGGTATCCATTCATTTATTTAAAATAGTCAGGCGGTATTGATAGTAAAAGATAATTATCTTCTAAAGCTTTTAAATCTAGAGCTTTGAATGGTTTCGATTTTATATTATAATCACGAAAGCAGTATATAATTTTTATAAACATATTTTCTGTATTTATACATTTTATTTTATATGTACATATGTATATAGATAGTTCTTTAAATTTCCTCAACTATAAAATCGCTCCACATGAGGGCTGAATTGGACTCACTTAGACCGGGAACTTCTTCATATGGCATGTTAACTAGTTGATTTTCTGGGTCTTTGGATAAGAAATAACTATCCCCATCTATTATACTACTTTCAAGCATATACTTAACATCTTGAACTTCCTTCTTCTCTAACTGTATGCTTTCAATATTTTGTTCCTCTGGTATAGACACCAGTTCGGACTGTAGTACAGCATGTCTAGTCATATGTGATTTAAGTGAATATTTCTTTATAAATGTCCTTCCGCAAATGGAACATTTAAATCTCCTTTCGCCAGTATGAATACGTTCGTGATTCTTGAGATCACATAACTGGGCAAAGCTTCGATTGCAAGTCTGGCATTGATATGGCTTTTCACCTGTGTGCGTTCTCATATGCAGTTGTAAAAGAAAGACTCGTGAGAAACGTTTTTGACAAAAAGTACAAGAATGTGGTTTTTCCCCCGTATGCGTTCGCATGTGTGCGGTTAGGTTGCTAGACTCATAAAATGTCTTATTGCATAAAGAGCAAGAGTATTCGGGCTTCTCAGAATGTCGTTTCACATGCATAGAGCAAGCTGACTGAGTTTTAAATGCCTTAGGACAGTGGATGCATTTGTAAGGCCGTTCGCCGGTATGTGTGCGCAAGTGCATTTTAAGAGCGTAGTTTGATTGCATTTGCTTACCACAGTAATCACATTCCCTGTTTATTGTTGTTGCAGATGATTTTTCAAATTTATTTTTAGCTGGACTTGGCATGGGTGAAGAACTCTTATTACTCGATTTTTTACAATCAATGCTATGACTTAAATATGTTTCCTGCAAAGCAAATGTATGGTTACAATAAGTACAACAGTATGGTTGTAGAATTAAGTGTGATTTTTCCAAATGTCTTTGAAGATTAGTAGCTTGTAGGAAAACTGCTCCACAGGAATCGCAAGTGAAATTTTTTTCCACCTAGAAAAAATTAGACTTAAGATTCGATTTTATTTAGATATTCTTTTCATTTTTCCTACCATATCTTGTAAGACACAAACTTGGCTTACTTCTTGCTCACACGTTGATTGTGCTGTTGTCGAATAATTATCTTCTTCTACAACAATATCGAAAAGTTCCATTGTTTGAAAGTCTTGACTACTTCCGTTGGAAATATGAATATTTTCGCAGTTCGAACTAGTTGTTTTTACACTCTCGGTATCGATGGGATTTTCAATATGATGGCTCGAGGAATATTGGTTTTCATCATTTTCTTCACAACTGTTGTTTACAAATTCTTCTGGATCTAATTCTAAACTATGTTTATCCATATTTAATAATATTATTTCATTTGCAGCTTCGAGCTCACAAGAGAGAACATCTTTGCCTTTTACACTGTCTGACTCTATAACCTGTGGTTCCACCTCATTAGATGATATTTTCCAAGTAGTCAATGACAATATTCGTTGCGCTCTTTTGCATTTCTCTCTAAACTTTGCGGCTACAAGGAGTTCAGTCGCACATTCTTTGCACAGAAATTTGGGTAAATTATCTGATCGTTGCACCTACAATGATTAATATTAAAAAACCGTGCCCAGAATTATTTGAAAAGTTCTTACTTCTATGCCTCCACATTGCTCTAGCAAAGTGATTAAATCCGATTGAAGATCCTCGATGACACCGTCGTCGTAAATATGAACCATTAAATCTTCAAGCTGAAGACAAACTCGACAGCACACTTCTACCATATTATTATCTACAGCTTCGTTATCCGGTTCCGTATTCATTGTAAAATGTAATAAAGATTAGGAGATTTTGTATTTACATATGAAGCTAAGTGGGAAAAAACTAAGCTTTATTTATATGACGAATGTCAACTTCCTAAGCAATTGTCAAGGCGAATTCAAGCGAACTCGCCTTGCTCGTGCTCATATAAGGCAAAGTATGTGAAGTTCTAAGGTTGCGCCTTAATAAGTAAAGTTTTTCACTGCTAAAAATTCACTGAAATTTTGGAAATCAGCTTTGCTTTGCTTTCGTCACACTTTCCATTGGTTCCTAATAGAGGAAATTAGTTCGAAGTGTGAAACAATCTCCAAAGTCATTAAAAGCATTGAAATTTTTGCTTGTCAGCCTCTGAAATATCAGTTAACAAGGATCTAGTTTACATTTTTCATACGCAGTCGAACTAAACGCAACAGTTTAAATATTGGCTTAGAATATACTTTCTTCTAATGTGTGTATGTATGTACTCATTTCTCTTGAATGTATCAGAATTCACACTTAACAAAAAAAACCTCGAAATTATGACGCTTCACAAGCCATAACAAAAACTAAAGGCGCAATCTGGTATACTGCATTCTTGGATCTATCATATGATTGATTGTTGGGAGCTAGCGTTATTTTAACAAAAATCTCGTCACTAATATTGTTACTAAACTTTCTAATATATGTTTTGAACGGTAAGTGGGCTTAGATAATTTTTTTACCAGAAAATAAAAATCAAAAGCGATTAATATTCGGCATTATCTTACAGATAAAACAAGCACACGAAGAGTTCATAATTAAATGCCCGGAAGTACAATTTTAGTTTTAATTTATTGCTATTTATGAATTTAAAAGCCCATATACACTACTTTCTTTGCATAGAAAAAAATTAGGCATTGCTTGATTTTCTTCAGAATCAATGTCTTCGAGTGAAAATAGTAAAGATTGTTTAGCTTGCCGCTTAGTTAGTGGCTTTGGGCTTATTGCAATAGGGGCATATATTTTATCACAATCAAAAAATCGGGGAAAAATTGAAATGAACACGATGCGTCTAATTTCAGGGAGTATGTTTCTTTCTAACTTAATCTTACAAAATGTAACAATATAAATTCGTTTTTCAGGTGTAATGTTCTTAGGAATAGCACGGCTATCGAATGCGAGATTTCTAAAAGCGGATAAGTAGATAATATATAAATTACCAACCGATACATCTTAGCAACTGCACGGTATTACAACACCGTTAAAATGTTGCATGCCTAAAAAATTCTTTATTTTTCACCACTACAAAATCAGGTTTTAAAATTATGAATCCACGTTTATGATAAAAATAAATTTTGTACGTAAAATAACACGTTTTTTTCGTCCAAAAGAAATTATATAATTAATCATCTGCGCTATCTTCTTCATTTTCAGAATTCCTATCCGCGTTTTCATTTTCTTCGTCATCTTCGTCCCAGTGTTTAATTTTTTTATTTGTCATAAAATCTTCTCGAAGTACACTCCATTCAGATTTTCGTTTTTTGTTGCTGTTGGAAGAATTGTGATCATCATCTTCGCTGCTGTCTTCTTCCTTCAAGCTCTCATTTTTTACAGGATTGTCAACAGCTTCGGATTTAGCTCGATTTCCGCTCATTAACACATCTAAAAATTTTCGTTTATTTATGTTGTTTAAAACAGCATCTTTTCGACTGTCTAATGGGCCTGCAGCATCTAATTGATGCTGGATATCTTTTTGCTGGATGCGAACTGCATTAAACAACTGAACCACACCTCGTGTAGCAACCTTTCGCAATGTCCGTTCGCGTTCAATATCCTTCCACGAGGGCTTAACACGCAGCTCGAGAGGTATATTTCTGCGTTGTTTTATTTGTTCTTCAGTTTCATTTTTCACAATTTTCTCATTCGCCTCTTCTCCATCAACTTCAAATCCATAATCTAAATTTTTTGATTTTGACTTATCACCCGGTTTAAGTTTTTTTGCCCTAGACAGCACCAATGTTTTCTTTGTTTTCGGTTTAGATGTGTTTAATACTTTTGCAATACAGTTGGCCCAACCGGTGTTACCTTCTTCATCCTGTTCTGGGTCTTCTTCACTAGAATCTTCACCTTTGTTTCTGTCCAATTTCTTCTGCAACTCTTTTAATAGACTAAAATTAAATTAAATTTTAACAATGTTTGAAATATAAAACTAACCTTTTGCATTATCTTTTTTCTCTAATGCAGATAAGGCCATTATTACGTTAAAATATAATACAAATTTACGCAAATTTCGCACGTTTTTAGATTTATTTACATCTGACCACAGATAGATATGCTCAAAATAAATCGATGTTTTGTCAATTATCGATATTTTTTTATGACTTCTCTGAATGAATCGTTGTCCGGATTGCTATCGAAAACAATTTGAAAACAAGTTTTGAAGAAAAGGTGTTTACACCGACTTTTAGTGTTTTCCTAGTAAAGACACCATTTGGAAGGAGATATGATTTTTCAAGTGGTTTGTGATGTGTTTTCGTAACTTTTCAAAGGCAAAAATACAAGTTTTTACTTGGAAACCACTCTTCCTACGAAAACATGTATTCGATGCCCTTTTAATAAATTATCGCTTCTAATTACCCTGCTCACACGGCATTCAATTTAACAGGTCTCTGTTTTATTCATTGGTGATGCAAAAGCATGTGGAATTTGACAAAAAAATTGCATTAATAAACCAACACTTTTCAAAAAATCATATTATGATTATAATAATTATGCTTATGATTCAACAAGCATTATTGCTTTCCAATATTTTTCTTATTCAATATATAAGTATTGTTTGCTTTCCACATTTTTGTCAGATTTATCAGAAAACTTCATTAAAATTGCAAAAAAAAATTAAGGAATGCAACTGATTGGTCGTTATTGACATGGTAATTGAAATTGAATTATCCATTGCCAATGATTCAATAATTAAAGGTTGGATAAGTAAACAGTTTTCACGCTCCTTTACTAAAAAACCTTCTTCTTTGTAAAAAAGCATTATTTTTAAAATAAATACTTAAAAAGTAGCTAAATATTTTATATGTTTTATTAAAATATATGCTAGATATCACATATTCTTTCCTGACTGGTGGGTTCAATATTTTGACAACTATTTAATTATTTATTTTTTCTTGTTGCGGAGTCTTCGAACACACGTTAAAGTTGGTAAATAAAATTATAGTTGATTTAAAACAGCTCTTCACTGCCATGTTTGAATAACTCTGTCGGTTGGACGTCAACTCCAGCCGAATTGTTGATCTTTAAGCGCAAAATCGCTATTCGAACCTCAACATAGTCGGGCAGTGTAACGTCCACCATCACCGGGTGTTAAATTTTCACTACCATTCAGCAGGCTGGAGAAGTGTTCCTTCCACAAATTCAGTATACTCGGGGATTCGTAATTATATCACCCCTATAGCTATGTAAATCCTTCTTTGTTCGAATGCTCTCCCACACATATTCGAACATGTAGTAATTACATCCCCAAATTAACTTTCTACTTCATTTTTTACCACTCTAGTTTGTAAATTACATTTTCATCTAAGTTAGTTTTTAAATAAATGTTTCTAAAAAAAAAACGAAGTATTGTAAGTTTAAAATAAAAAAATAAACACATCTTTTTCTATTTAATTTATTTCAATCTATGGGTCCTATAAGAGTTTGCTCCAGCCGTTGAAAGTCGCCGTATTTTTTCGTAAAATAAGCAATAAACCTCTCGACCAGCTTCCCAAGCTCTTCATACTCACTTATTTTGGCTTCTTTTTTCCTGACTTCGAAACCTTTTTGTTTTTGTTGAGGGGCGCTACGAGCCGATGTTAGGTCTTCGGAGTGTTCACGTCAAGAGTACTGGAGACATGTCTTCCGTCTATCACAGCATGGTCGATCTGGTTTGGATATGATTTATTTTTGAGGCTGAACTTTCCGCCAGTTGTGCCAAAGATATCCTCTTTACCTATTCTAGCGTTTAAGTCGCCAAGCACAGCGTAGTGGTTAGTACGCTTATTAAAGGTATTCTTTGTCACATCATCCACATTTCCGTCGTGACATGGACGCAAGTCAACGTTGTCTTGAAAAATTTCGTGTTGATGCGGATTGTTGTGAGACGTTGATCCACCGGAGTGAATGTCAGTACTCGGCGACGGAGTCTCTCTGCAACCACAAGTCCGACACCGAACTTACGCTCCATTATATAAGTAATTTTACTATATATAATTTTATTATTTTGCATATGAATTAATTTTTACAATATAGATTTTCATCCCATCCCATTTAAATTACCTATTACTTCTCTTACTTTTTAATTGCTTTTTTGCTACTTTCTCCCTGATTTTTTTAATGGAGCATATTTTCTCCCCCTTTCTGCTGCTTCCGGGAACGCAACGATTTGTAAGGCATTGTTAAAACTGACTTGTCACTACTTATTTAACCTTTAATATTAAATCATGTCCATTGCCTACCAAAAATTTGTATAATTTGGAATATAAGATTATTGGGCATTTTTGCTTCACAAACAATTCTAAACAATAGAAGGAATCATCTTATACCACCCTTTCATAATAATCCCAGTGCGATAGTCGGTGATGCCTAATTAATCGATAATGAATGATAGGTGTTATCGGATATCTGCCAGAGAACGTTCTCTGTGAGAAGCTGCATCGGCGAATTTCCATATACTTTCTCAAGTGAATAACAAATAATATAACTATAATTTTAATTTAAAGCAGGGTTAAATAAGTATTTTATTATATGTTAAAGTTAAAGCTAGAAGCGTTGGAACACCCAGCGCCTAATAATGTTGACGTTAATGGTAAGTTAAATTGTTTCCTAACCCATCACTACATATATATCTGCAAAAACGTAAATTTTTCTTAAATGTTTAATAGACCGGAAAGTGTTTGCAAGCACCATACTCTGGTTGGAAGATCAGAAAATACGTCAATATAAGATAGAAGATCGCGTGGATCTTCGTAAAGTCGATCGTCTTGATATATGGGAACAAGCATATGAAAACTATAAAGAAGATCTTGGTATGCCCCAGTTCCAAACGCCCCTTGAAGAAATTACGTGGTTGCTGGGTTATGCTATTCGTTTAGAATTCTTAGATTCTCCTGATAACTACAAGACTATTAATTCAATTGAAGTAAGCAAAGAGCAAAACAAATCTTTGGCTCCTAGCATTCAGGCCGAAAATTTTTTCGATAATATGGACTGTAAGATTTCCAAATCAATATATGTATGTAAACTTACTATGTAATATGCTAATATTTATATTTATAGTTAACCACAAAGATTTCATTTCGGGTGTTCGAGCACTGGCCAATAAATTGAAAGTGCCACATCACTCCAATCATCTTATACAATTGGAAGCGATTGCGCGTATTGTACATGAAAGGCTTTCTCCTTCGGCCAAAAATCGGCAAGCCATAACTGGTACACCATTCCCATTTGAGAAAGGCAATGACGTTGTATCTGATGATCCTGCTTTAGATTATCCAGTGCGTATTTTGCGGTTATTACAAATACAAAGCTTGCGACAATTACAAACTAAAATCAATGAAACAATTGTTGCTGTACAAGACTTAACGGCGAATCCCAAAACAGATACAAAGCTGGGAAAAGTAGGACGTTAAATAGAAAAAGTACTTATAAAAAACGAGTGTGAATACATACTTGATTTCGCACGTACATACATATGTATTTATTAATGTTTGAATAATCCAAATTATATTAAAAAAAAGAGTATAAATAAACTACTTTATTAATAACTTATGAATCTGGCTAGGGGAATATATTTGAAGGGGATTAGCCGCATATATTGCATTAAGTGGCAGATTCCAAACCATTGTCTCTACAGGTATTTCGGCAGGAGCCTTAACTTCGCCTTCTATTGGATTAGGAGTACCAAAGTCCAACATTGTGGTTGTAACAAATTCAAAATGCAAACGCCAACGTAGTTCAACTAAATCGGTGCGAAACGAAGGAGTGATGTGCAATGGAATTGGTACTATGACGGATGTTTTCAACATTGCATAGCTCATTTGGTGTATTGTAGCGAATGTACTGATTTTACCCACGGGCTCCTCCTCTTCTGCATTTCGTGCACTTCCAGATGTTTTAGACTTATGTAAATTATCAATTGCCGTACCACTTGCAATACTTGCCAAGTCCAGGGAATTTACCGAAGAAGCGTCATTCAACTCGGAACCTGATTGATCTCTATTAGTTTGCAAAGATATTTCTTGGGATTGAAGTTTTACTGAAAACTGTACGCAACGCACTTCGCAGTTGCTAAAATCAAGACTAGCTACGATGTCTTCACCAATTTTGTAAGATGGTTTAAATAAGCAAAAACGTCCAACAAATCCACGCTTATTAGATATCCGATAAAATTTCGGTGCACGACGGGCAGTTACATTCTAAACATATATTTATGCATATATTCATTTAATTATAACGATATGATATTATTTTAGAAAGTACCTTAAGATGGTGCCATGATATCTCCAACTCCGAAATTTCGCGCTTCTCAAGAAAGGGATTAGTTGGCGCTAATTCATCATTGGTTTCTTCAGTACACTGCATTTCATCCGGTCTTGCAATAATTGGAATAGGCAGAACACGAATGGGTACACTGAGCAATTGCACTTTAGATTTAACTCTTTGTGTGGCTATTGTTATTTTATAAAAGTATTTAATATCATGCCCTCGATATGTTGGAGGACCATTACGTGGCAAAATTTCATTGAAGAAGTCTATAGAAAAACATTCGGTTATTTTGATATTTATATGCATACGTACAAACTCTTACAAGTTTTTGTTTCACCTGGCAGTAGTCTCAAATCACAAAATAATATCTTGGGTTTTGTAGCAATTATGATATCACCGCTTGCTTGTGTTACTGCATCCAAAGTAGTTTTCCCAACTAATTCCGTTAACTCATTAACTTTATCAATGTTGTAGTTAGTTTTCCGATAGCAGTGCAATTGTGCGGATGCCCATGCCAAATTTTCTGTTCTATAAGAAATTAAATGTGCTTACGTACATACAGATGTTTGGACAATTTCAATGCAAGTACAATGTTTATGCATATGTACCTGTTATCGTCCCCTGTACCACAGTGATAGAATTCGATTAGGCATTCCACACGTTCTCCTGTTGCATATATCGCTGAATCGGCACGCACAAACTTTGCTTTTATTTCAATCATATTATTGTGTGTTTACTTTTGCGTCCTTAATTTATTTACGCAAAAAATCATTTTTTTTATATCTTTTGTGGTGACGTTACTCTCAGCTGAGTGTCAAAATTATATTCAAGCTTTGAACCTTTAAGTGGTTGCTCATAGAAAACCCCACTGCACTGCACTCTCAAATGCCTCTTTAAATTGTGTAAAGTTTAGGAGTTGTTACAATAAATTTTTGCGAAAAATCTTTGAAAAGTAAAAAAAAAGTTGTAGACAATTATTACATTGAAAAATATGTTACAACTATTATTTTTTACAAATTTTTGTGATATGTATAATAATTGTATTATATCGTTATCAGAAGAGGAGTCAATGGGAAGTTAAGCTCAGGCAGTACCGGAATCAATGTGTTCTAACTTTGAAAAATAGCTAAATTTTCTATTTAAAAAAAAAATAGCTAAGTATAGCTAGGAAATATTGAAAAACTAGTTGTGTTCTAAAATAGAAAAGTGAAAAGTAATATTGAAATTTTTTTTCAAATTCACACTACTACAATACGATAAAGTCAAAAAAAGCAGGAAACGAAAATGTGTATTGCTTACAAAATCTACTAATAATTCTTATATTTATAATTTATACATTTTAGGCAAACAAGCTTAACAAAAATAAATTTTTGATAAAACTAACTTTTTGTGTACCTAACACATTCGTTTCCATATCAAACGGTTTCACTCTGGCAATATTGTTTGTACTGACAGTAGAAATCTGCATTTTTTTATTTAAGCGAACATTGAATTGAACACGACGAACATAGTAAAGCAGAAGGATTTCGGAATTCAGATTTTTGTGCTCTTTAAATAAAGAATTAAGTGTTCAAATTGATTAGTTTCAGGGTGTTTAAATCATAATATAAAGTGTAAGTTGTATTCCAAATTAATTTAATTTATAAGCTTTTGGACTAAAGTGTTCCATGGCAATTAGATTTTTTCGAGTCGGCTAATTTAATTTTTCAATTCGCCTTGTCTCGACTTTTTCTCTGCTGCAGCAATGGCGGTGCTGGCGTGGAAAGTGTAATAGCAAAAGAAAGAAACAAGAAAAATGAGATTTGCTGCCTACGTTGCACTTTGCTGGCAGGCAGTAAAATGATAAATTTCAAAGTTTTAAATAAAAAAAAAAATTAAAATAAAAATAAGGTATCTTATAGAAGAGCCGTATAAAGTAACATTGTCTTCTCAAAAATTTTGCATATTTTTTTTTACATATTGCACACATGCTTAATTTAGAAAATATTGCAAAAAGTTTGAAAGTATTTAGACCACTACATCATAATTTATCAAATTTGCTCAGGGTACTTTCGGGGTAAAAGAAAAAAAATAGCATTATTGATTTCATAATTATATGAAGTTTAATGTACATAACTACTTTAGTCAAATTCTGCTCATAAACCAGCGAAAAATTATTAATCATCAGGTAGTATGTTCAGATAAGATGAAATCCTATAAGGTATCGTGAATAAAATTAAAATTTCCCATACATAGTTAAAAGGTCCAGAACCAGCCAAACTGAAGAAGACTCGTTATTTTAAATGGGCGTGGTCTACTTTATAGCGTCAACATCACCAATTCTAGAATAAGGCATCATTCAGCATAAAAAAACATTTAATGTTGACGTTGATGGCACAAACCAAGTACAAACATACGGTTTGGGTCTCCTTCTGAGGCCGTAGAGAATTTATTCAAAGAATTGTATGTATTCTTATGGACTTACATATACCTGTATATGCACATAAATTTTTAATAAATAATCTTTTGGCAAACAATTCTGTTTTAGTTACAAGAAATTTGCATTCACGCACATAAATATTACAAATGCCTCATCTGTTAACAATCTTGTTGGTCGAGACAAATACAATTTTTAATGTACATACATATGTGTATGTATTTGATTTTGCCATAATTATGTAGACGATTATTTGCCTATATACAAATGTTCGTTTAATTACACATTTCTATTTTCTTTCGACAACAAACACATTCTGATTTTGTGCGGCAAAAATTATCTCAGAAATGAATGAATAAATGTAGAAATAGGTCCATTTTCTAATAAGAGTTTGCAATTATGCCTTTGTGCTATAAACTACATCATTAGATAGGCCATAGCTATGAATATGTACATAGGTAATGTTAAAGAAATGCATATACACACATACATATAGGTTTCTTTGACTTGAATACCATTGTTACCAATTGTTCATCTTAATCTTGTTATATTACATCAGTAGTTATAAAGGTATCTTCTAAATTTTTGTGAAATAATTTTTTTAAAACTTTATTTAAAAATATTTATTCATGTTAGTATAAATAACACTTGAATTCAAATTAAAAAGTCGTAATAAAGTCGACATTTCGCAGTCAAACTGTTCCGGTTAACGACCTCTACCGCCTTTCGTACAAACCTACAAATGTATTATAAATATGTATGTACATACATATGTATGTGTGTAATCGGCATGTGTACATATTTCTTCTTATTGGTTTATTTTCGTTTTTACGTTGTTTAATCACAGCAACAAGCGTGTGTAGATATATTCATAAATACAGACTTAACAATATACCGGCCGGCAAGCAGCCGAATGAACGATCACTTTCCTCTCCATCGCTCTGCTTATTTTGTGTAACCCAAATCGAAATCGTTAGACCGAGTCGCCTATCCGTTTCATAAAAATATGACAATATATGTGTTTAACTGGATATTTGCGGACACTCGTTACAGTTTTAAACATCCGATCTTAAGGAATTATTGTTTATTATAGAATAATTCAAAACTTACAATTCTCTTGGTATGTATACAATTTATTTAACACTGCAGGACTTTTCTAAGCACTTAACCAACGTAAATGAATAATAAAAATAAACAACAATTATGAATAAAAGTTCCCGTAAAGTAGAAAAATCTAAAAAAAATTCACAACTACAGTTGCACAAATCGTAAAATGACGCCTCCGAATTTTACAGAAAATGCTTATATTATGGAATTACCCATTGAAATCAAGTATAATTAATTCAATGGTCAATCATCATCGCAGAGTGTCTTTTTACAAACCTTTAACTACAAACACACATATGTACGTACGATGACTTATGTAGTTGATGTGTGGGTTGAGGTTTCTTGTATTTGGGATTCAAATTAATTGATTTCTCAATGATTTAACGACAGCGCTGACTAACTCAATATCTTCATGTGGCTGTATGTATCTGCATATGCTAATTATTCAACTAAGAAATTGTGGATACATTAGCGCGTCGATGACACTTATAGATCTCTTACTTTTCAAATTCAAGGTTGTTACTTCAGCATTTATTCATTGTAAGTTTATCCCGCATTCGCAATGCGAAAGATCGTTTTAATAGAATTCCAATATTCGGTTGCTGTTTTGACGATTGCGCATCGAATACGAGTTAAATGCTATATGTAATATGTAGGTATATACATATGTATTTGTAACATCAATTGCTGTTTGTCGAACGAACTACATATAATAGTTGTGTCAATGATATTCCATTATGATGCACTATTTAGTTTAATTTGTATGAATGGTTCACCCCTTGAACGCTTAAATATATATAAGGTGTGTACATATGTATGTGCCAAAATTCGGAAAACTCAATTTACGCCACGTCAAGTAAGATTGCTTTGCTTGTAGCGATTACACCCAATGATCATTAAAACATGGTATTCGATTATGCAGAGGGCACATGTTAAGATAAGAAAAAAACAGTACAAAGGAAACGCTTAACGGCAAGTTGTTGCCATTCAAAAAATTTATACGTGTACATACATACATATTTATATGCAATAAATTTGTACCTAAGTTTTGACTTTCTTTAGTATTAAATTCACTTGAAATCACAAAAGTACACGTCATCAATATTCAAAGAAAAAATGGCGCTTGATAATAAGTGATCTTTGGTACTGCATTATGAATTGTTAAATTTGTGTTCACAAGTCAATGTGTGTATTTCGAATTAATTTTTTTTTGACTCAAATATATAATTATTTTTTTTTTTACATCAAGAACTGTTCGTTATTGCCTTATTTATGTGTGTTTGACATTTAATTGTTATTATAAAGATTTATTTTTGCTTGTGCATTTATTGGCTTGATAAGGTTTTCGTTGAATTGCATACTAAGTATGTATATATTTACAAATGATTATTTCTACATTAATAAGTATGCAAGTGGCTATAAAAATAATATTTTGTTCATACATGCATATAAATATGTACTATGTATATATATGCATTTGAATGCACATACAATCAAAAAGTTGTTGATAAGCAAAAGTGTAGTTAAAAAAGAGAAATTTTACGGTAGACTAATTTGAGAACAGTGAAGCTTACATCCTTACATCCAGATTAACATATGTATGTACGTATAAAATTAAATGTATAACATTTTTTTAGTCACACATTTAATTTAAGCAATAAGAGAACTAAATATATAACTCTTAATCTAGAGTTGTTACTTTTAATTAAATATAAGAAATCGACAACTATTCCTATATTCCAAGACATATAGGAAGAGTAAAAATCTTGCATAGATTATAATGTTGTCTACATACATACATATGCATATTTTGTATACATATACATACGAGTATATTAAAAAATATATATATATTTTTCTAATTCCTAATTCCTTTTTGTATAGGTTCTTTATTAAAACTATGCAATGATGGACCTAACCCTACACATATCTGTTGTCATTGCTTGTGTCGTTATCGCCTCTATCCTCTCGATACTGTTTCTTAACAGTATTTTTACTGCTGAAAAGCGAGAAAAAATTGCAGCAGCTATAAAGCAGAGAGAAGAAGCCGAGAAAGCAGCTGCGAAGAGGCAGAAAAAGCTACAACAACAACAGCAACAGGCTAAAAAGGATCTGAAACGCGAAAAGAAAAGGTTTTATCGTGAACAGCAGAAAGACAACACTGAACAAGAGGAATCCGATGTACAATCCGAACCACCTTCTGTGGAAGATGAACCTCAGGGTCTATCAAAATCTCACGTTGAATTTGATCCCGATCCAGAAGTTATCGTTGGCGCTACTCCAGAAGCAGTAAGACGTGCAAGTATTGCCGAGCGTGAAAAAGACGCATTAGCTAACAATTCCAAACAAAAAGCGAAAAAGGAGAAGAAGAATAAATCACCGGGCATTTTAGTAAACAAGAATGAGCCAGTTGTAATTCGCGAGAATTCGGTTATTGACGAGCCGGCAAATACCTTTGAAACCAAACAGCCAAAGGATACCGTTGAGTTGAAAAAAAGCGAAAAGAAGGATAATAAAAAGGAAAAGAATGGTAAGAAAGACAAAAATGTTGCTTTTGAAAAGCCAGTGGTGGCTGCTGTGGAACAACAGCCCTCGACAGTTGAATTTGTCTCACAAGTCCAAGTAGCAAAGGAAGTAAAACAGCATGATGAGAAGGCGCGTCGTGGTTCACCAAAAACGCAGGCTTCTAACAATGCTAGCGGTAATAATAAGTCGAAACAACAGAGCAAAAAACAAAGCAAAGAAACCGCTGCCACCAAAGAACTTGTACTTGCACTTGACAAACTTTCTGATTCAGATACTATTGGGGTTTCTCTGCTAATGAATCTTTTCCGTCGTGCGGAACTTAATCGTTCCGAGATACAATTACTTATCGATTATTTGTTGAACAAACAGCAAGACACACCTGCAACACATTCCGATTGGTCTGATGATATATGCCAAAAATTAAAGCGACAATTGGAAGAAAAGGAAAAGGCCTTGGCTGAAGAACAAGAATCTTCAATAGGTATTCAGGCGAAATTGCGTGAACTACGCATCGAAATCAATACAGAACGGACTCAACTAAACGCCACTGTTAAGTCTTGCGCAGAAAAGTTGCAGGCCAAAGAACAAGAAATAGCCGCACTCAATCAGGAATTGCAATCTATCAACGAAAAGTTTACGCTGGAACGCAAACAATTCCAAGCCAAGCTTCTTCTTGAAAAACAAACCGGTTCCCAAGATTTGTTCGCACAGTTGCAGCGCATACAAAGCGAGTCGGCACACAAGGATAAATGTATTAATGAATTGACCTGTTTGGTTAGTGCGTGTAACAAGGCGAATGAGGACTTGAAGCAACAAGTAAGTCTTTTAGAACAACAACGCGAAGAACTCGAACAAATTTCAAACAATCGGATTTTTGAACTGGAAAAAATAAAAGCATTTGAAGTCGAAAATGCCGAGTGCAAGATGGAACTGCATCGTTTACAAAATGCTCACGAATCAACTAAAGTCGATTTGGCACAAGCACGTCAGGATCTTGAAGTACTCGCTGCACGAAACGGTGACTTTTTGGAGAAGCAAAAGCAAATAGACGCTCTAGGAGCCAAAAATGATGAATTACTTCAGCAATTGGCCGGTGTTAATATGCAGGCAGCAGAACAATCTAAGGGCCAGGCGACATTAGATTCAATCAAGTCACAATTGGCAGAAAAAGAAAGGCAATTGGGAATTTTACATGATAGCCATACTTGTTTGTTACAACAGTTGGATACCGTGCGAGCACAAAGTCAAAATAATGCACAAACTCATCAAGATTTGCAAAAGCTGGTTCAGTCTCTACAACAAGATGTTGCTAATAAGCACCAACAATTGCAGCAAGTCGAACAGACTGTGGACCATTTGAGCACACGGGAAAAGAAGCTGTTGCAACAACTGCAGGAACAGAAAGAAAAAAATGACGTAAGTTAGAGAAAAAATGATTTTATTTTAACTTTTTTTTTAATTTCATTTATTTTTTTTTTTTATATTTTAATTTTTATTTTTATTTTTATTTTTATTTTTATTTTTATTTTTATTTTTATTTTTATTTTTATTTTTGAATATTACAAGAAAAGAAAGAATTTTTCAATTTTCGCGTTTATTTTTTAAGTACCTACTCGTTTTTTAAGTACGTGTTTTACTGCTTTGGAATTTTTGTGAAAATTTTGGATTAAAATTAATATGAAAGATGTGATTTTTTGTATTACTGTATTGTTACAGTTGGTTTATAACAACAAAATAGCCTTTCTGCCATCTCTATATCATATAGTAATAATGTTCCATTCAAGTAGGGCCCTGATTTATAAGTTTTACTCTTTTATTAGCTCATTATTCCATTAATTTGAAGAGCACAGAGTTTATTCTGCATTTAATTTATGAATTGAACTTCCAGTTTTTTTATTTATCGGTTCATTTACTACTCATAATTGATTTTCATATCGTCACTTTTAACATCCGGTGCTTGTTTGTCGATATTTAATTCTTAACACTAATCTTTTCTTCAAATTTTGCTTTAGGATTTGCGTAAGAAAAACTGGAAGTTGGTTGAAGCTTTACAAAGCGCTGAAACAGCAGCTAAACAAAATAAAGCGCCTAAGAACGCTAATGCAAACTTAGTTGTAAGTGCATGTTTAATTCGCCCACCTTAGTGATTTATCCGCCTTTGTTTTACTTAATATAATTATTTTTATTTAAAAAAAAAATTTCATTTATTCATGTTGTTTAAAATTATGTACTTGGAAATTTCAGGAACAACAGCAACTTTTCGCTACGTCTCAAAAGCAATCCTCCACCACAGCCAATATTGCAACAGTTTCTAGTAATGAAGAGAAACATGTGCGTGAAATATTTCAACGCCTGTATCCAGAGGCAGTAAAAGCTTGTGCTAGTACAGCGCTAAGTGCATCCTTTGAGCAATGGGTGGAACAAGTTTTAGACACGCAATTGAAATTAACAGCACCTCCTAAATCTCCTGGTAACAGTAGTAATAAATCTACACAAATGAGCAGTAGCAGCATTAATAACGCCACCGCTTCAGCCCACACAAATAATAGTTCACATAATGATAACTTAAATAATAACGATAACCGTATTAGCACCGATAGTAGTGGGGTTGGTGATAGTAGCAGTGGTAGTGCCAACGATGTAGACGCTACGGACCTGCGTCTCCAAAATACTCAATTACGCGCCAAGGTCGATGAGCTTACAAAACTTGTTACAAAAACTGTAAGTCAAAATTAGGCAAATTTACTCATTTCGATATTGAGCTGATTGTACTGCTTTAAACATACATTTTTATTTTTTAATTGGAATATCAAAATTACAAATTTATTGATGGTATCAATTTCTCCACGTGTGACTCAACATTACAAAGGGACTTTATCAATTTCCTTGACATTGCCTATGCATTTTGAAAAAAAAAAAAAAAATTAAAACTAAATTACTCCTTTGACTTCCTCACCATTTAACGCTACAAAATATTCAAGGTTTACAAATCTTCCGGTATTTAAAGCTCTTGCTATTTTTATATACGATGATATATAGATTATTTGATTTTTTCTCAATTTATGTTATATTATGTACATATGTATATTTGCTGTTTATTATTATTATTTTTTTTTTCATAGAGCAACACATTGTCCGCTCTAGAAGGCCACGCTCGAGAAGAGCATGAAAAATGGCAAACCATTGTATTATCGAAAGACGAAGAGATTTCAAGGTTGCAACATTCAAATGGTTCTTCAGTGAGTATTGTCATTAATCAATCATTGTGAATTTACGTATGTAGATATATACAATTTTTGTTAAATTATTAATTTTTAATTAAATAACTTTTCATAACAGGGGATTTAATGTCGAATGATGCAAATATGTATGAGCGTTAGAGAAAATGCGTTTGAGATGTAATGCCTTCCAAAATACAACACAAATAAGCAGCAAACTACATAAAAAAATGGACTGTCAAACAAGAAAAAACTGAGTATTGCCTGACATGCATAAATATACATAAGTATATGTATATGCATATTTGCTAGCAAAATGCTTACGAAAGCATTTAAAAGACATGTTTAAAGAATTTGTATGGAGCTACTCAGCATTCGAAAGTTCGTACACATTTATTTACAATCTGCAGCAAACAATATAAAGCGAGAACAAAAGTAGTATATGCGTAATAACAAACAGCAGCAACAACACAACAACATCAAACATTCTAAACAAATTATGCTACAAATGCAGTAGGAAGTATAACTAAAGGATATTAGAAAACATAAAGCAAACTTAAAAGAAATTAACCCAATTATTAAGCGTAAAATACAAAAAAAAAAAAAAAATAAATAAATAAATAAAAATAATTAGTTTTAGTTTAAGCCTAAAATCTGTGCAATGTTGAATGATCGATAAGCAAATGCAAATGAAAAAAAAACTATTGTAGAATATCCGAGTAAACGCAAATTTAAACAGGCATATTCCACTAGATTGCGAACATTAATTGAGAAACTCTAATAATATCAACATCATTGCAATAAATATAAATCAAATCGAAAAATTAAAATACTAATTACATAATTTGAAGTGAAGAGGTCAAGGAACGGACAAACTGCTGTGTTGCTTAGCTGGACGCTTCATATGCTGTTTGAGTTCCAATAAATGTCTGCATTTATACATACAACAATATCCATGAGAAAAACCTACATACATACACATACTACTTTATTTTATACGTTACAAATGATCATGAATAAAACAAATTAAATGAAATGAAGTTATTATAAATGATTAAATTTCAAAATTGTTTTATAAAAAGTTTGGTAAGAATTTATTGGAATTCGCAAATGTTAAGCTTATTTTCACTTGTGCATGCTCATAAGCAGCAAAAACAAAATTTTCGTAGGGATAGAACTGTCTAGCTAGTACTAAAATAAATTATTTCCTTTCTTTTTCTTTTGGAACGAAAAAAAAGTCACAAAAGACAATGCGTGGTTGTCTCAATAGCTATTTCACTTGACTCAACTTTTCACAGTCGATTTCTTGTATCAAACGGGAGATGGCACTCGATATGTTTTTAGTTCAAAATAAAATCAACGCTCTTTTGTAACTTTTCTAATAATTTTCGATGTTTTGATATTTTAATGTGCAGAGTTCAGTTGCTTTTTATGTTAATTTAAAAAATGTTCATTCATGTATGACGTTATTTTTACGTATCCAGTAATACAAATATATAATATATGCATAGCAAATGGAAATAAAAACCTTCTTTTGTAGTATGTATGTATGTTGCATCCAAAATTTGAATATTGTTTATTAAAGTTTCAAGTTTTTTAATTGCATTTAGCTTAATTCAGCTTCAGAACTCTATAAACAAAATACATTTGCCACCTTAATACCTATCATTATATATATACATTCATCGTTGATCTATCCATCTTAGTGCACTATAAATATGTTATACACATTAATGATTGAAAGGAATTTAATTGAGCGTGCACTCGGTTTTCTGTCCATAATATTAAATTAGTTAAACCAATACGTTTCAAAACGACTGAGAAACTTTTTTTCTATTTAAATCATAGCTAAATAAATGTTTCGAAAACATATCGATGATTGAGTGCACATTTGTAGCATGTGCATATTTGGATGAAAATAAATCAAATACAATTCCTGAATGTTGAATATCAAAGCTATTTAGTGTTTAAATAAAGTTGAACTTTCTTTATATCATTTAGTTATGCGTGAAGTTTAGGGAAAGTTTTGAAATTTTTCAACACAATTGAGTCCTCAAACATCGATATTGTACTCATGTAAAACATATTAATTTTAACTGAATATAGTATTTTATCTTGCCGCCATGGAGATTATAGCAATGACGAGTAAATATACAAAACCACAACTCAATTTGCAGAGCAATGCAGGCAGTGACGACTGACAGGATAATAAATTTTGCAAAACGCGTATATACATATACACATAGACTTATGGAAGCGTATCCTTAGCAACAGCAACAGCAACAGCAACATTTACTTAAGCATATAACAATGAATCTATTTTTATATAAGATACTTAAAGAAAAGCAGATACAATTAAGCCAAGCCGTATGTTGTTTTACATATTTAAGGCAGTAAATAGAACTATGACGTACTTTGTCTAATAAGTATAAGCTATAATAAATATTAACTCAAATATTTCACGCAATAATTGTAACGAAAATTGACTGAAACTGTACGACAAAAATGCCATGAATGAAAACCGGCAACCAAAAGTATTCACTTTCGCTTAAATAAATGAATTTTTCGTGTATTTTCATGTTATAGTAAATGTTCTTTTACTCTTTTTTGTAGCCATGCCCATCAATATGTAAAGTAAAGATTTATTAATTATATTAAATTTACATTTTTCAAGAAGCTGCAAAAAAGCATTCCTTTTTTTGACATACATAAGTATGTACGTACATATAGAAATCCGAAAAATCCAAACAACCGTATGGGAGCAATAAGTATGTATACACTTCATATATATATTAATATTTTCAAATCAGCAAACAATATTTGATTACACACATACTAGTTGCGGTGGGATACATATGTAAAACAATTGGCTATTAAAAATAAATATTTTAAACCAATTAAATTAAACAAACGTAAAATAAATAACTTAAAAAATTGACTAAAATCGTGACAAAGATGACGTACATAAACAATTTCATACATATGTACTTGGAGATTTTATCGCTGCCTCCTTTGTATGGGTTTAGAGAAATGAAAATAATAATGGAAAATGAAAGTTATTTAGGCAGTATTAGCAGCACTAATAAATAAGCACGTTTTTACATACAAATGATGATGGGTTAGTAGTGTTGGTTGGATTATAATTAAAGCTATAGTAATGGTTGATTTTTTCTCGATGGCATGTCAGCTATGTGGTGGTAGGAGATCAGATTGAGGAATTATGATATATTACATATAATACTAAGCGAAAATAAACATATTTAAATTATAACGAAAAAATATGAATTTTATTATATTAAATTTTACGGCGATTGATTTCTTTTTACTTACAAGCTTCTCCCTTCCTACTTATTGTAAGAAACTAAATACATAATATACCTATGCATATGACTGCAATGAAAGTTTCGAATTTAAAATTTGTGAACTCCGCAAACATTACTGTTATATTCTCGAAATTCGATAATAATGAATAATGAATTGGATACTTTGAATTATATTTCGTAAACTGTCATCTGAACACTAAAAATATGGAAACCAGCAAAAGCAAAATATTGTAACTCTGGCATATTCATCCATTAATTCTTTTTGACTTCTGCCAATACAAATTCTGATGTGTTAATTAGTTCGATTGAACATATTGAAATAATAAAAATAGTCCATTATTTTTGTATTCAATTAAAGGCTTCGGAATTAAAGTGAATGCATAATAATCTCTCAGCCTGGTCTGACCTTCTTACGATGAAATACAAATCCCCTACTGTTGGTCAAAGCTGGGCGTTTCTGGGCGATTGCTGTCTTCAGACATTCCAATTGCTGAAGCTACAGGTCCGAATTGACAGTTTGACCGTAGGGGAGCAGCTCATAGTGGGTGATTCCAGCTGCGTGAATTACGTTTTCGCCTTTATCGAAGAAAAAAGGTTGAATGTAGCCTATTATCCTCTTGCTGGTGTCCATCTTTCACATGCGCTCAAACAATATTTAGTTAAGTGATTTCACACTTCTCCTGTTTTGTCCTTGGTACAAAATACCGTCTTTCTAACGTCATCTAGCTTAATTCCATTGCACTTTAGAACGCGAGATACAGGACGCTGAAGCCATCTATTGCAAAAATAATGAGCTCCTTTTTACAACATTTACATCTAGAAAATTATTGCAAACAAAAGGTGTAATTGGTTTTAAAAATGTTTTTTTTTATCTGTAATAGAAAACCTATGGTAATGCAGAACATTTTGAAACTTCTTAGGTTTTATGATGAAATTTATAAAATAGTTAATACTTTTTTGAAGTTATTAATAATTTATATTTAAAAAATTATTAGTTTTTCTATTTGCTTACGTAGTTACAAGAAAGTAAAAATGCGTATCGGGTACTGGTTTGTGCCCTAAACAATTAAGGTTATATAAAAACTATAAATTAAATATGCATTCATACAATTAACATTAACAACTATTTAAAAAATTCAATTAATTTTTATCTTTAGTTGTGGAGGGTACCGCTAAATTTTGTATCGGTATAACCATATTAAATGGATACTGCAGCAGTTCAGCACAAGAGGGACGTTTCTTCGGATTGTGTTGAAGACAATTTTTTGCCATCTGGTAGGAGTAAAGTTAATCAAGAATATATTCGACAATATCCAATATTCATCATTTAAATTTACTCTATAGATATATAAACAGAGTTAGCTTTAAATATATATCCATTTCTAAGTATCAGCACTTCGGCTAACAAAAGCTAAAAAAAATTGTTTAAAAATACTTACGTGCACAAGCATTGCTGGATAATATAACGGAATCATTGGATACTCAATAGCTGTTGTCGGACTGGTGATTGCATTAATCTTGGCATATATATTCTTAATATGCGAAAATGGTGTACGTTTATAAAGTAGTAAGTATAAGATGCATCCCAGCGACCAAACGTCCGATTTAGTTGATATCTAAAAATAAGACAAATATAGAATGCAAAAATTTTATATGAAAATAAGAAAAATAGTGAAATGAAGTATATATCACTAGTAACCTTTATCTTTGGCTGATTACTGCGCATTGGACTTGAACCTGTTGATGTATCGGTAAGTGCTTCAGGGCTAATGTAGTTGAAAGTACCGGCTTGAGAAAATTTTATTATACTCGTTGAATCTAATGCTATGTTACTGGCAATGCCAAAATCAATCAATTTCAAACGACCATTTATCATCAGAAAATTAGCCGGTTTAAGATCAGAATGAATGACACCTAAGCAAAAATCGAAATAAAATCAAATATTACATTTCCTTCAAGATATGTATGTATGTATTCTATTTTACCATTTTGGTGTATGTAATTAACTGCTTGCAACATTTGATACCAAAAATTCATAAGTACATATAGTGGTAGATTTGTAGTGTATGTCTGCAAAATTTTATGCAGATCTGAGTCTCCTTTTTCCATAACAAGAAAAAGACGTGATTCTTTTCGCAAAAGTTGACTATTGGATTTGAAAAAAAAAAAATTAATTAATTAATAATTTGTGGATTTTTTATACTTACTAATCATAAAGTGCTACCACACAAACATTGCCTTGAAGTTTTGCCAATAGTTTTGTTTCATTTAAATACCCTTCCACTACAACTGGGTCTCCGCGGAGATCTACCACCTGAAATAAATATTATCTTCAGATCGTATATAAGAATTTACCTTTTCATGAAATTACCTTTAAAGCGCATTCATTTTTATCTGAATTTTTCTGTGCCAAATATACAGAACTGGAGCCTCCACAACCAATTTTTTTAATAATTGTGTAGTCGACATTGTTGATATGCAAAATACTATCTTTCTCACTTGATGATGAGCTTTTATCAGAGAGTTGGTTAGTTTGCTGTTCTTCATTTTGATTTTTTTCTTCTGCATTGTCGGTTGTTGCAAAAGCGCTATCCAATGATTTTTTCGACTTAACTTTGACATTCTGCCTCTCTTCTGGGTCTCGCTCAATGTCTTGGTGAATTTTTTCTGCAGTATTACTTGTATTTCCAGCCCCATTTATAGAATCACAAAGTGATAATGTAATACTATCATTGGGTAAACATACTACGGGAGCACGTGTAATAGCCATAGGTGTTTGAAATAGAACTTTCTGAGAGCGGAACTCATTTGCAATCGCTGTACGTTCCTTTTGTGATTGAGTTGAACACAATCCTCGTGGCCTTCGCTGCACTGAAAATGAACGTATTTGTGGTGTTGCGAATTGCGAGTCCTGAATATGGCTATTTGTACCAGCTACTATGGGATTTGACGTAGAGCTGAGCGCAGTATTACTGCTTTGTCGAAGAGGCGTTTCTACATTAATATGCTTATTGTTTGACTGAGGTGTAGGGTCAGAATGAAATCTTTGAAGTACGCCGCCCACAACCTTTTCTTCATTATTATGATTTGTTTCATCCATATTATTGTCATTCGCTACTTTATCTTCTTGTATACTTTGCAGCGGACATGTTAGAACGCGGTTTATATGTGCTTTTCTTGCTGTACTTGCGGCACTGGGTTGTATATTTTCCACCACAACAGATATTGACTCCTCATTTTTGTTTTCTTTGTCCTCTGAATTAAGAGCCATTTTATTGAAATCTGAGAGAAATGAAAGATTAGTAGCAGGGCGTTTTTTCTTTGAAGCAGATGGTGGACCAGGAGTTTTCAATACAGAGTTATCCGCAGGACTCATAATGAAAGAATCATTTAAAATAGCGCAATTTAAATTATCAGTTTTAGGGTTTTCCTCCTCTTCGGACTCATCTGAATCAAGTGTTGGTAATTCTGAACTTCGCTTGGGACTAAATAAATAGAATATTGAATGGCAGTGCAAAGTAAATCAATATTTTAAACTTACAACATCCGCATATTACTAAAAGCACCAAAACTCTTCGTGGATGTACCGGCAGAATCAAGTTGTGGTAAATCATTTTTCTTTCTAATAAATAAACAAATTAAAACTTATCCAACAAGTTGAAATGTTAATATTTTTAATACTCATTGGTCACATCTTCTTCTTCTGAATCAGGCTCTAAAGCTGGCAAATCTTTTACTCTTCGTGGATAGTGAAAAGACATTTAGTTTTATAATTATAATAAAATGCTAATATAATAAAATCGCAACTTCAGAATCAAAATCAAAATTGAAAGAATGACAGTTGGTAACAAAAAAATATATATATTGCGACATCTAGCGGAATATAGAATGTTTGAAAGACAATGTAGTACATTAAGGCAGCTCCGTTGTTTTAATTATTTTTCATATTATATATCGTAACATTTCCAAGCGACTTGATATATTATATTTGAAGTGCTCTCAGTTGAAACCATTGATTGGCAATTATTTGGCAAAGAAAAAAAAAACAGTTGGAAATCAATCAGAGAGAGACCAATGCTGCAGTATTTTCAATTTAGAGCTCGGTAGTGACAACATCGTCATAGAGTTAAAAGGAGTAAATAAATGTTTATACAGAGTTGTATTCTTAGTGAAGAGTGTATTTATTATAAATGAGCAGGGCAACAAATGATGGACTTTTATTTAACAATTCGCTCATCGAGCTCGAAGCGTTTGGGTGATCATCTAGGTTAATTTAGCGAAAATCGTTACAAACTGATTTTAAAGCAAACAATGAGAATTTCACCATTGGCTTTCAGGCCCTTTTTTATATAAATCGGGACTAAATGATTACTAAGAACCCGAAAATTTTCATTTCACAGCCCTTGACTAAATATATATTAACTATAAATATACTATTTATCTGGTCATCTTGGTATCGATTATAAACAACCCCAAAAAAAAGTACATAAAAATATCAGACCGCAGAAAAAATTGTATATAAAATTAAGGTTTCTTAGAAATGGTCACTAAAACCAATAAGTCTTTTAATCTTTTTAAAACACGTCAATGTAAACACACTATAATTAACAGTTGAAAGAAAATGCGTAATAGCTGAACTTTAGCAACCCTACAGAAATATGTCAGAAAACATCTGTGTTCTCTGACGCCGCCGACTAAGAATTAATAATAGCAGAAATCAGTAAACAAAAAAGTAGTTTCACTTGTTTTTGTTTTAACCCTTTCTTTTAAAATTTCTTCGACCAATCAGGGTATTGCGGGAAATTGCGCATAAACAAAAATAAAAATATTAAATAATCTATTTAATTCATTTGTGGCAGCGATAAGCTAATGCGCACATAACTGGCGGTGAATCACACCACTTACTTGCTCATATGGTTAGTTTGGGACAAAGCTTCAACGCGAATAGAGTAGGTATAAAAATATTAATGAAGATCACGATTCATAGGTTTTTTTTTTTAGGGTGCTCAATATATGAATATGGGAGATAATAGTGCATCAATAGCAGGTCATGCTATAGTAGGTGTTGATACTGGTAATTTCGGAAATGATGCCGAAGAACTTCTTGATCCAGTGTTGAGCTCAAATGATGATGGAAGCTTTAAATCTCTTAAGACAATACCGGCTTTTAGGTAAGAATAAAATACGTTAAATCTGTTCATATGTGTTTATGTACGTACATATACATTAGTTGAATAGATCAGGTGGAGGTTCTACGCTGCCACATTTGGTCTATTGATTCCTTGGTGGCTATTCCATTTCCCAGTCTATCCCCAATGCCGCAAAGCACGGGGGTTTAATGTAATTCACTTCGAATTATACATTAACAAAAATTTATATCATTCTTGGCTTTAGCGTAAAGCCGTGACCTATCTTAAGAAAGCAAAAGATTTTTTTTTGTATTATCTCAAGTACTATGCACATATATACAAATGTAAATAAATCATTTTTTTTATTTATTTCTTTTGTTATAGTATTCATTTGCTGATTTCGACTGTAATCTCTTTTATTGGAATTGTGCTAGCCTTCGCGTGGCCGGAGGACAAACGATGTGAGGCATATTTTATTATGCTTTATTTACGTGCCACTTTTTGGTTGATAACGTATGTAAGTATACCAATCATTCATAAATTTTTAACTTTAACTACAATAGCCTTCGTTTAACAGCTCTTTGATCATTTGATCAAAAAGCATCACGATGACTTACGCATGAATGGTTATCATGAATTTCATCGCGCCACGGCCGTGCAAAAGAGCATACCATTGAATGTGGTATCTCTATGGAATTCTATGCTATTAGCTGTACAGGCCGGTATTCATCACTATTATGGCGTAAATTTCTGGGAACACTGTGCAGAAGGCTTTCTTTCACCGGTCTCTTATATTGCTGGTTTCAATGCGCTAGAGACCTTGGTTTTAGGGGCTACAAATGGTAGCTACATATGTGAGTATGATGATTTAACATCGTTTTTTTTTCAACAACAAGTTTGAATGTTTACATTTACGTATGCATTTTTTATCATAAAATAGCGAAAGTTCACAAGTTTAATAAATCTGCACCTCCACCGGATGCCCTCAAAGGAAGCAACAATGCATCGGGTTCCTTGGGACTAATGCAGCCAGGTGGCAATACAGCTGAGTTGCTTGAAAAACAGGTGAGTCTTTTTTGTAATTAAATCCGAAAATATTTTCTATTACATATATTATATCCGTTTCTTTGTAAAGGCTGATCTTATTGCTTACCTTAAGGATCACAATCAAAAACTTAATCAAAAGTTGCATCAAATGCAGCTAAATGCGCGCACAGTGAACTTGACAGCTTGAAAATATTTCAGGTTTTGACATATTCACTACTACGAATCTAATATTGAACGAAATATCAAAACAAATATCTATAATTTTCAACTAATAACTCTTTAAAATTTGTTTTACTCATATGTTATTTTTAAAATACTAATTCAAGATTTCCTTATTGTGGCGCATTTAATATTTAATGACCAAACACTATAATGGATTTCAGGGGAAATACATTTTTATAAAGTGAAGATATTTCTAACATATCCTATGTATTTGATTTGGGTTTACACATTTTATTGTCTGGTGTTAATTTATTTTACTAACTTAAACTAGTTTATACAAAATTGAATATGTATATTTGAAAAATTTGGACTGATTGATGCTTTAATGTATTAAATTGAAACTGTAATAAAAAAAGTTTATCTACATAGATGTGTAACGAAAACTTTAGTCGAAGTAGTTGCACTATGCAGGCTTAGGAAGACATATGTATACGATGGCGTTGTTATAACCACAAAAATATTACCCATAGAGCCACGACTGTCGCGGGAACTATTGGATTTTAGTCGCCTCTTACGACAGGCATGCCTTACCGTTGGTAAATTCTTCAACCCCTAATCCGCAGTGGGTGTATACGATTATAGTTGTAGCGGATTATAAAAATTTACACTTTTAAGGTCCAGACGGAAAAACTCGGTTGTTTAGTTCTCGAGGGAAACCGTAAGGAAGAAAACGGCGATTTTTAAAAAGAATGTAAATACAACTTTTTTTTTTAATTTTGTAATAAACTTCAATCATTTACGTAGTTTCCATTTTGTTGGATGACCTTTCGCCATATTTCCGGTAACATCATTATTCCACGTGCATAGAACTTCTGGCCAAAAAGCTGAACCGAATGCGATTTTTGAATGTTTTACCATTTAATGAGTTCTGCAAAGATCGAAACAAATGGTAGTCTGACGGTACAAGGTCAGGGCTACATGGTGGGTACATCTACTACAGTTCCCAGCCAAGCGGTCTAGCACGTTTATATAGGGCAAGCCAAATTAAGGTATAAGAGTGCATCGTAAAATTCTGTTTTATTGGATTAACGAGAATTTACGTTGAAAAATTACCGTCAGCCGAAAGAAAGACACCGCGGAAATGAGCAAGACAACGATCCAAGGCATATCAGTAAATTGGCAGAAATTAGTTTGCTTCAAATGGAATAGAGACTATATTCTGATATTATTCTAATTAGGAATAATTGCATAAAACTCAAGGAAGCTTGGGTAAAAACAGTTCTCAAATACAATACGAAGCTGTAATGGGAAGTCGTAAGAAAGTCGTGCATGGCCTTTCCACTGATTCTTTGCTTAAAAGCTGAGCAGCTGTATTATCCAACAACGCTCATTAAACGAAACATTGATAACTTAAACCTTTATTATGAATTTTACAATGAATTAATCTCTTATTTTTTGGTTTTTGGCATGAAATGCTGAATACTGCTCGCATTCACAAATTCCTATTTATTTAAAAAAAAAAAATATTTTATGCTATTTTTAAAGGATGCCGTAGTTGCTATTGAATGTAGGGTTATCTATTTTGCGGTTTCGAAACTAAACGCAATTTTTGCAAAAAGTTTTAAATAAAATACGAAGTGTGTTTAAAAAATATCGCGAATTTTGTGTTTTTTTTTTCAAAAATTATTTATTCATGAATATCTAATTTGTCCCCTTCAAAATAATCCCCATGAGATATTATACATTTGTGCCAACGGTTTTTCGAATCTTCGAAGCACTTCAAAAAATCATTTTTTTTATCTTGATCAGCTGCTCCTTCGATGCCGTCTTTATCTCGTCAATCGTAGCGTAACGTCGTCCTTTCATGGGCCTCTTCAGTTTAGGGAACATGAAAAAGTTACAGGGGTCCAGATCTGGGGAATACGGTGGCTGCGGCATCATTAGTGTGTTGTTTTTGGCCAAAAAGTCACGCACAAGCAACGATGTGTGAGCAGGTGCGTTATCCTGGTGCAAAAGGCAATTTTTGTTCTTCCACAAATCCAGGCGTTTCTAGCGGATTGCTTCGCGCAAATTGCGCATAACTTGCAGGTAATATTCCTTATTGACCGTTCTTCCCTGTGGCAAGAACTCATGACGCATTACGCTCCTGCAATTAATTTTTTCGTCTGTTGTTGAAGTGCTCGGGCGTCCGGCACGCTCTTCGTCGTTCACATCTTCTCGGCCTTCTGAGTACATTTTGTACCACCGATAATGTTGCTTCGGTCCAAGGTAGCTTCTCCGTATGCCACAGTCCACATTCGGAATGCATCTGCGCACTTAATTTCGTTTTTCACACAAAATTTGATACAGGTTCTTTGTTCAATTTTTTTTTGAGTAGGTAAAAATCGAAGACCATCCAAAACACGTGCAAGCAAAGCAGCTGTCAACAATTAAGTGAACATTCAAAATGGCCGAGCTTGTCGACATAAGCGACAGACATGAGTGCCAACATAACGCCACAAAAAAATCGAAATTATACGTAACCTACGAAAATTCCAAATTCGCGATACTTTTTGAACACACCTCGTAAAAGTTAAAAAAAAAACGATCGGGCTTTCGTGGCTGACTTAGAATGAACTTTGGGTCCTTTCATTTGTTGGAAAACATCAAGACGTAGTATACCAAAAATTCGAGGAGGAGCTCTACCGACAAGCGTCGTTATACATATATAAAATAATTTTGCTTATGACGTTTGTGTACTACGAAATTTCTCTCCCGGGGAACATCTTGTTGAAACTACATCTTGTGCAAGTCGTGTGTTTCAATTGCAGGCAAAAAAAAAAAAATAATAATAAAATAACCATGCGGCTACAACGCTTCGGATTGACGTGACTGTCTCGCCATTGTCGGTTCAAAGAAGTAAAGTCCCTTCAAATCTCTGGGTCAAAATTCGCATCAGACAGTAAGTCTTATTTTTGGGTATGATAACTTTTCTTTCACTAAATGAAGAAAGAATTACACGTATATTAGAATATGAAGTGTTTTATATTTCATAGAAAATATTTTTTTCAAATAATTTAAGCTGACAAATATAAGCTTTAAAAATTAATTATTATACATCAACTATGTTAACTTAAATTTGTGTAAACACTTAATTAAAAGTAGTTTTATTTTAAACAATACATTAATTTCAAAGTTTGCACTCGAGTGAATAAATGCATATACAAATGTAAAATAGGCAAAAATATAACAAATGCGAAACTTTTATGATTATATGGATAATAAAAATAGCTAAAATGTATTCATTTCCGTTTTGCTGAGAGACTTTGTGGTAGTTCAATAACTCTTAGTGTTCTATCTTTGGATGTTAAGATTATCTGAAAAAATAAATAAATTAAATAATTAAAAAACATATATATTCCACTAAAAACTAACAATATTATTCAGCTTTACCTTATTGCTAGCCACGGTTAGGCTCAGGATATTCCCAGCACAACCCGCATAACGACCACAATGGCGTTCTTTTATCTTATCAAGTACATAGACAAAACCATCATATGAACCGACTAGCAGAAATTGACTTTGATATAGCCGCATTGTAACAGCGCCACTGCCACAGTATATTGGTGTTAAATGCTGACCCGTCTATGGAAATATCAGAACATTGTATGTATATTTTCTTGCGCTATTTTATATGCATATATGTATTGTAATTATCAATATTGACTTACCGTAAAATCAATTTTGAGTATATCACGACGTTGCGTGCTACAATAAACGCAACCGTCATCCAATAGCAAACTGTACGCCTTCAATGGTTCGGGCAGAGTCAATGTACGCAGTAATAGTCCTGAGGATGCATCGCGGATTTGTATTTCCTTGGACTTCGAAGCAACTATGAGAATTCGTCGTGGTCCCTCCTTAGTTGCCTTAATGGCGGTTATTGTTACATCTGATGCTGATATCGTGGAATTGATCAAGTTATTGGACTATGAAGAAAAATAATTGGGCACATATTTTTGTATAAACTTTGTTGAATTATGGAGAATGTACCTATATATATATATATATTTATGAAAGCAAAAGTAATAAGGATATAAAAAAAAGAAACATAATGCATATTTTAGGGTATTTTTTTCTCTTCAGCAGTAGATAAAAAATATCAATTCACCAGCAGGGTTAATGGTTTGCTCTATAACGTTCAGTTTAGATTCACCGCAGATATTTTCTGATATCGCTGTATATCTCGTACAGCTCATCGTTCCATCGGCTGCGGTATTCGCCGTTCCCAACTCCAAACGTCAACTCATACGATGTTGTCATCGTCCATACTACTTGTAGAGTTTGGCCTTCTTCCGTTGAGAGAGGACTTTACTTTTCGATTGTCTACGCAGCACCTGTTGGCAAGAGTGATTCTGCCATTGAATAGACATAGAGAATTTCAAAAAAAATAAAAAAGGCCGGTCGAGCCGTTCAGGAGTTTAATGACAAGCATACGTACAAAAGAAGTTTACACATCCATAACTTTTGCGGGAATACCAATTTCAGAAATAGTCGTGTAGAGGTAGCTTCTTATTGTGCTGTTGATGAGAAGGCAGTGTGTGTCGATACTCTTTTAACCGGAAATTTACCCGATTTGACGCAGAAAGAAGATCTAGTCAATATACTATTTAGCAGTCTAGTCACATGGTAATTGGTGCAGATAGTGCAGCCCATGATTGAGTAGAGCACACTTAGATTCCAATCGCGGACATGCTTTCATGCGACCAGATTTTGCTGAAGCATGTACTTAGTCACCCGATTACCGCACGTTTTCATAGAATTTTCGAGCATTACTCTTGTGGGCCTTCTTCCCTTTAAACTCTTCCTTTTTTGTCTGTAAATGTGACTTTCTTCCTTCTACAGATGTCGCGCGTATGGTGGTCGATCGCAACATTGCGAGATGGGCAGCGTGCTTTCTCCCTACTGCAGTTCCCCATTCCTCGCCGGATCAGCACAAGGAGATTGAAGTGCCATTCCACAGTTGCCTTATATTTAGTTGCAGATGAAAGCAGGTGTACATTCGAGTAGAAAACCGATCAGCTGTTAGTTGTGATTGCAGCTTTTCTACGTCGAACCTTCCTGGTGTTTACTGGCGGGCTTTCTTTAATACAAGTATTGTGACAAGATAATGATTTGAGTAGATGTTAATTTTTTGAAACGTACGCACATCTAGTACACTGGACAATTGTCTTCCGTCAATCACAATATGATCCGTTTGGACGCGTAATTTTGTTGAATTTTCTTGTAAGGAAATGTGACACTACAGACTACTATTTTCTAGGCGCTCATGGAAAGCGTCCTTCCTGTCTTCTTCTGTACTTATACCCTCCATCGCACTTCTTGAAGGGCGGTGATGTAGCCTTTAATCTTACATGGTAATCAATAAGCTGGGCAACGGTACCTTCCCAATTAAGGGACCGACCGACCGACGTTCCAAGTGGAAAGAAACGTTTCTTTTATATACGGTTCAAGCTGCTTCGAACTGTCCTCTGAGTAGCCAAAAAAAAAACCATTTTGAGCCGAGCTAAAGCGAGAAGGTGAATGCCCCCGTGGTCGTGCATAAAATGAACTCCACTAAAACATCAATCAAAGCCTGTGATGAGGGTTCCCTTTTTGATCATGAACCCTCTTCTTTCGCATACAATTTCCTTTCAATTCCTTACGATCCGAAAACTAAGTCGATTTTTTCGCAATTTCAGGGACCAATATATAACCACCTTCTCATCTTGTTGAAGAGTTTCTACAGTTTTATGGCAAAAGCAACCAGAAGAGATCACCATCATTCTGCAAAAGCTGTATTAAAAGGCTTAGGTCCAAAATACTTGGATCAATAAACAATATGTACCCCAGTAAAATTTGATTCTCGTAGTTAATTATTTAATGTTTCCAACGAAAAAATTAAAGAAAACGTTGTGACTCATCATATACGGGAATGTACATAGTATGTACGTAAATAAGAATGACTGCAGCCATTTTTTGACCAACAAATACGAAACAAAAAGAATACTAAAAGTTTGAGCTGATGGTAAATGCAAACTGCCCACACACAATGTACACGTATTTATTTAGTGGATGCAGTGGAAAGTCTTTAAAATAACAATGCCTGTTAGGTTCAAGTGAGGCAACTGCAATGTGCAAGGAATCTGATTCGCTCAAAGTAACCAATGAAAATTTGAGAAAACACCCACGACAGCATTTTCCAGACGAAGGGGAAGTGTTGCAATAAAGAAAAACAACTAAGTGAAGAGTTGAATTTAGATTTCCAGCTGCAGACGAAGCAGACAACAATAATATTTATGTATGTATGTATTATATTTCATTTAAAAGATTAAGGATTTAGCTTGCATTTAGTATGAGTGGGTGTCTCATGCTGAATTATGTGTTGGAATTGTTTTGTCTTTTTTGTTTTTGAGAAAAATTTCTCGTATATTCAGAGTCTTGCATTCACAATCACAGCTGCTGCACGGACTGTTAGGACAATTATTTTTTGGCATGCGCACAAACACTACAAGAAATGCAATGCAATATTGAGAGAGATAGAAAGACACAGAAGAATAGAGCGCAACGCCATCGACCAAGGCGCTCTGCTCTTGCGTCTGGAAATATTTTGAACAAAGAAAATTGGAATTGTTGAAGGGTTGGTTCGGTTGCATTCTAGTGCATTGTCTAAATAAGATATTTATGTAGCTGGACGATGTATAAAAGTGGTGCAAGTATAATAGCAGTTGGTGTAGGTAAAATAAAACTGAGTACATGCACGTATGTACGTATGCAAGCACGCCATTTTAGTTATAGACAAAGTATATATAAATATGTTGACAAAACTATATACAACTCTTGCATATATATATATATGCAGTTTAGCACTGAAACGCCCCTGCAATGCGGGTTGGTACGATAGCGGTTGGCACCTCCCAAGATTCTTTGTTTTTTTGTTGCAATCCCTCCGATTCAAAATGGATGAGACAAACTATATTTCACGCCAATGCGAGTGTGAAACCAGAAATCATGTAAATATGTATAAATTTATATGAACACTTTTGTCAATATATACAAATATTTATTTATTTAGAAATATTGTTGAGAAAATCGAATCTTCAAAAAGTAAAAAATAAACAATTTAAGCGAAATAATTGCGACGACGGAAAAGAATTACATACATACATATTGTATAATCACGTCTTGGCCATAAATTGCAAATCGAATATAAACGAGCTTTGTATGCCAGCACCAATTTTAATGGTCTATAGTTCAGTTGAAGAAAAAATAATTTCAAAATTCAAAAATAGCATAAATAAGTTTCTTTTCCCAACATTGTAGAGTGATGTATCATTTTCGCAAGCTCTGAGCTGCATAAATTAAATACTGAATACCGCCAAGCTTAAGTAAATTTTTTCATGCAGCTCATTCATTCAAAGAAAAGCAGATTCCATAAGATTGTTGAGGAACAGTAGTTAACACGCGCCTCATATAATACTCTAGATTAACAAGAGAAAGCAGAAAACTACATATATTTGGGATCTCATCAAGGCATCTGATTCGTCGTAGAGGAAGATTATATGATATTTTCCGGCACATTTTTTTACATATTCTTCTTCATTAGCGTGGGTTCCGCTTACGCAATTATAGCCGAATTAAAATTAGTGCGCCATTTATCACTTTATTTTTTCGGTGTCACTTGTTGGAAATATCAAATTTAAACAGGTCGCTCTCCAACTGATCCTTCCAACTTAGTGGAGGTCTTCCTTTTCCTCTGTTGCCACCAGCGGGTACTGCATCAAAACTTTCAAACATGGAGCGTTGCATATAATAGTACGAGAATGATGAGGGACTTGTGGAGTTAGGTTTTTCTTCGTCGAGAGAAGACATCACTTTCCAACTGCCTGACATTATTACTGGTGTTAATGCTAGTTCATAGAGATGGACGAAATATTCCACGACTTCAAAATAATTAGATTCATTTGATTTGTCTTCGTTCACTACCAGACAAGCCCATTCCCCTCCCTTTCTCATTCAGTCTGAGGAGGGCAAAGGCCACTTTCTACCGCTCTGATTATATTCCTCAGCATCAAGTAGAAGAAATACATATTGGATAATCGTTCTGTATAAAAAATCATTTGGTATTAAACGGCTCGAAAAAGTCCTTCCGAATTCTGACTTCGCTTTTGGTGTTGCCCAGCGTCAGTTTATCAGAAACAGACATGGCGGCCTATATATGCAGTTCCTTTTCGCAGCCTTGAAATCGATGAAAAGATCGTTTCTTTTCTCACAGGTCTTTTCCCAGATTGAAAGCATAGTGAATACTTAATAATTGGTGAGTTTATCAGGACTCAATCGTTTAACCTTTTACACAATACGATTCGATTGCATCTTGTCTTCGCTTCGTCTCCCGCCGCTATGTTATTCCTTAAGCGAGCAGTCGCTATTCGATTGGGAATTCCGCTTCACCAGCTCCGGATGTTTCACATTCACTGAGATTCAGTGCAGTATATGAGTATGCACCAGTCTTGATATTTTCTGTATGTCATCGAATATTTTCATATATTTTTCGAGCACATCACTGTCGGCCGGCTTCTCAAGCTTTACACACTGATCTCATGGCCTCTTTAATTTTTGTTGGAAAATTGGTATTATTTTCCTTTTGTTTCCACCATTCTATGTATAGAAGTTCTCGTAAATGAGGAAAGTTTTTAACCTGGGAGTGACCAGATACTTCTTTTTCATATGGTTCATGCAGCTCACAACTTTCCATCTTAGAGCAAGTATCATATGAGTAGCAAAGCCGAGTTAAAGTGAATAGGATCTACCACATAAGAAAACAAGTTCCAATGGAAATTGATAATAATATGCCTTCTAAATTGAACGAGTCTGGCCCTTTACCCAGGCGGATAGACAGACACGGAAATATCGGTATACAATTCGATGGATTTATCTCTACTCTTTCTCGTACTTAATAAATAAAGAAATAGTGGAAAGAAAGATACTTTTACAAAGCCTTATTGGCATACTCACCATAATGTCGTAGGTGAATATATTTCCCCATCTGCTGCCGACGAATGCCGATCCCCATTGACTCTCAATGCATTGTAGTGGCTCCTGCATATATACGGACTGTATATCCAAGCCAAAGTTCTAAAGCAAAGAAATTAAAAAAATTGTTTTTGTAGAAAATTTAAAGTTAAAATTCACACCCCAGTAGTTACAACTCATAACCGCCCAGCTACAACAGCGTTCTAAGAATTGCATCGCATTTTTAGAAAAACTTTTGGAAATCTTGAAGGTATGAACAATGTACAGTCTTGGCCAAAAGTATTAGGGACCCCGCTGAAATACAAGTATGTATTCTCAAATGTGGCTTTCAAAGTTACCACTTCTTTTTGTAAATGTCTTACATGGGTGTTCAACCGTTAATTATACGAATAAATTGTGTAATATTGAAAGTCATAGCACTCTGCGTACGCTAAACCTAAAAATTGTCATTTTTAAGAAATTTATAAAATATTTTCGCATTTAAAATTGCCAATTTGGTGGGATGTTCGCGGTGCGCGCTCCAATGGGCTATCAGGCGATTTATGGAGACGAAATCCCATAATAATAAATCAAAAAGTTGAAGAAAGCGTCTAACCAATAAACGAGTAGACCGAATACTTCTACGCGATTCTCTCAAGGATCGCAAAAAATATTCTTCTGCCCATGCAGCTGCCCTTTCGGATGAATTAGGAAACCAGTTAGTGCCCGAACAGCTAGAAGAAGACTTCTGGAAGCAGGTTTAAAAGGATGTAAAGCCCGAAAGAAGCCGTGGCTCTCAGAAAATAATAGCGAAAATCGTTCGGAATTGGCTCGCCGATACCAACATTTCACGGAATAAGATTGGTCGAATGTTCTGTGGTCTGATGAATCAAACTTCGAGGTAAGCTTAGTTAAGATCGTCTTAAAGTATTAACAGCCATAGCTTCTTATCCCAGAGCAATTTCGAAGACATAATACGAATCTTATGAAAAAATTATTTTTTATTTTCTACATATATTTGGAACACCTGGTGTGACGTTCGTGAGGCGACGGTTTGGGGAAGAATATCATCCAGATTGCGTGGTACCCACTGTTAAGCATGGAGGAGGCAGCGTTATGATCTGGGGCTGCATGGCTCCTGATGGTGTCGGCGAAATGTTCGTTTGCGAGGATCGCATGGACAGTCAAAAGTACATAAATATATTAGAAGGTGTTGTTCTGCCTTCGTTAACGCGCATTTTCGGCGATACTGACTTAGAATTGCCTTTTGCCTTAATAAACGAGTGGTACGCTACAAGTGCAGACGAATGTGCAAAGCTTGCCTAAGAGAGAATTGCAGCCGTTATTAAATCGAAGGGTGGACCTACTAAATATTAATGTTATTATCACTAATAAAACTTCATTACTTCACTTGTTAAAACAAAAAATCCATTCAGACACCCCACTAGCCTCATACTTTTGGTCAAGGCTGTAAGCACTATATAAATAAGTGAATAGTAGCTCAGTGAAACGAGGATAAGTTCTGGCTGCAGCTGTGTGTTAGCCGCTTAGTTATTTTTTAAAAACTACAACAGTGTTTTTCTAAAACTTTCTTTCTTTTTATTATAAGCAACTAAATTTCTAATCTTTTCGCTTACCTCCAAAGACGTCTTTTTCATGTAGCCATCCAGTGAAGTGGTGAAAAGCATTTTCTTTTCACGGCATAGATAGGAATGTGTAATAGCTTCATTGTGCTTTGCGATTTCCTTCTCCAACTTAAGAGTTCTGGCATTAAATTGATAGAGGCGGCCATCCTCTCCGGTCGCGACTAACCAATGCTCATAGAGATGTATCTGGGTTAGAATACTTTTTACATTTATACAAGTGATAGGCAGATTCGCACAATCGAACGGATGTTCTACATCACTACAGGCTTGCTCCATATCTGATATCACAGTGCTTGGAGGGGTGTATTCTCGTGCAGCAGTATCAGTTGCTCTTGATGAATTTTTGTTAGAAGAAATATTAATACTTTGTGTTGCGACAATATTACTTGACTGCAGCTGCAAATTCATCAGATTTGCCTTACGTGCTTGAAAACGAACTCCACCGCGTTTACGTTTACGTTTAATAATTGGCACAGTATCGCTGATAGCGTTACGCTTTCCACCAACAGGTGATCCAGTTTGTATTCCACGAACGATTGTGTTCGGTGATGGACCGTTTGATGTTGGTGTTTGCACTTGTGTCGGTGTGAGAGTCTGTGTTAGAGCGTTGGGAGATACTGAAGACGTTCTTGTAGAGGCTGCAGCATCTCGTTTAGGCAAATCACTAGCTGCCGCAGTCATAGCGGTATTTAGCAACATGAATTTCTCATTTTGTAAATGCATAGTGTGCATATCCACTTCCATTTTATCCTTTTGCAATTTGAGAATCATCTCTTCGATGAACATTTTTCGTTTGTGTAATTCCATCAATTTCACATCGAACTCCCGCAGATTGTTCACAACAAATTCACCTAGAATGTTTCTTTGTCGCAAAGCTTCCAGATCGACATGGGGGAAAAGCGTGCTTGACATCAAAGACGACATGTTTGAGATACCACAAAAGCCGTTGGTGTTATTTTCAAATCCAACTAACGGATTTGATGCACCGCCGATACAAAATTTTCTTTCGAATATGGAATCTCTTGAAGTTAAGCGACAGCTAGTGGGGGACAGCAAATTGATGCTATTACTCGAATCATTTAGAAATGTTTGCGTGGTCGCGTTAGTGTTTTCGAAAGCAGTACTGCGCCCTTGCTCAAATGAAGTTTCATTATCTTCGTTAGAAGTTTCGTTAGCAGAGAGCTGGTGTGTAGCAACACTTGTTGGCATTATCCCATTAGAATCCACTTGATTAGTGAGGTTGTTGATTTCATCTGAATTATTAACCGCTTCAGAGGTTGCGTCGACGCCTGTTTTATGCCTTTCATCAACCACATCATTTGCTCTTTCTGTAATGTCAGCACTTTTAGCTCTATCTTCACCTCCACCTCCACCGCCATCTGCAGCTTTTTTGCTCATTAATGTTTGCCCATTCACACTTTGATGTTGGTGTTTTGTTGGAGTTGGTGTTGGTGTTGGTGTACCCGTAGACGTTGGCCTTGATTGCGCGCAATTCTTTTTAGCATTAACTTTTTCTGCTGCATCGACACATTTCTTATTGCTGCTACTGGTGCTGCTGCTGCTGCTGCTGTTGGCATTTGCGTCATGTGAGGCAATCCTATTAGCAGAGTTGTTTGCGTCGCAAGCGCCTACTGCATCATCGCCATTCTGTTGGGTATCTTGTGGTACGGTCGTTGCCTCTCCTGATTGTCCTTCATTCGATTGTTGTGTGTTATCGCCTTCAGTACTCTTCCTTGCACGATTGCTGCCACGTTCCTTCTTCGCCGCCTCCTTTTGCTTGTTGAATACATTGACAATTTCGCGCATCAAAAACTCCAATGCAACGGAACGATCCTCCGATTTAAGATTTGCTTGAATTTTTGCGATTTCTGGTTTTGTAAACTTTTTTGTATTGTATTCGCTGGTGCAGATACACGCGATGAAATGTAGGCGCGTATAGGTGGAATTTGAGAATTTGTTGTGATAACGACATTTTAAATTTTCACTCAGACTGGGCAGTATTAGCTTCTCAAAGCTTTCAACGATGTTTTGTGCATCTACACGCAGCTTCAAACGACGGCGTTTCACTGAAGACGAAGCACTTTTAGCTGAAGACTCCGATTCAGTATCAGAACTGCTGCTCGAGCTAGATGATGATGAACTACTCGAAGACGATGACGATTCTATTAGTATTACATCTCTGTTGGGTTTCTTACGACTACTTTTTTGCCCTGATGACTTCTTTCGTCTCTTTACCCGTATTTTATCTGCTTTTTTCGCTTTCTTTACAGCAGAGGCTTTATCTGTTTCTACTGCTGTAGGATTGACCTGTTCTGTGGGAGGTTCTCCTACTTTCTCGAGTTCTACTACTGCACTTGGATTTTCCTTCGCCGGCTTATTTTCTGAAACTGTCTCTGTATTATTATCAATGCTGTTTGGCGTTGTCAGCACGGTAGTCGAGGAAGTCTCCACGAGACTTTCTTGCAGTGGTGGCGGTACACCAGTTGCCTCCGCGTTCTTTTCGTTTGGTATTACGTTTACGTAATCTGTTTTTTCTTGCATATTGGGTGTTATCATGCTCAACGCTGTATTTTGGAACATTTCAGCTGTGGCCGCATTCTTATTACAAAAGATTTCCACACCAAACGCTTTTCGAATTTCTTCTAAAACAACATCGGGGATACATATCGCGTCCACAATGTCGTCGGGCACGAAGTTGACATCTTCGGCATTTTTTGCAGTTTCTAAACTCATAGATTTTAACTGTTTACGAATCTCTTCACGCAAACGTTTGCGCGCCTGTGCTTTTAAAGCCTCATCAAAGCGTGTACCACTGTTATTAATCACCTGCTGAATGCCAAACTTGTCCATGCCGGCAACTTTCTCAATAAGATTTTCCGTAGTGCCACTAGAATTGCTACAAGTCGAGATTTTTCGACGTCTCTTTACAAGATTGGGTCGACAGATTCGTTTGCTCGGCGTAACCGTTGGTAAAGTGATTGTAGGTGCGTCCTCGATTTCTGTAACACTTGAGTCATCTGCTAATTCAATGAGCTCGTTGCGTACAAGACGTGAAAGTGGTATTATAGAGATTTTAGGTTTGTCATTTGAGATTTTTACAGGCGAAACTCTGCACTGAAGGCTAGCAATTTCTTCGTTCACTGCTTCCCGGTGCTCGGATATATCTAGGATATTTAGATCGGTGTCTACGCTTGGAATAACTATAGTGACTGTCTCTGTTAAGTCCTCATTATCACTTTCTATAACTATAGAATGGACATCAGCATTTAAATATGTATTTTTGTGCTCGGGAGCTGTTTTTGCGGCTAAGGTTGTTTCTATCCCCTGATTTTCGTCTGATTGATCAGTCTTATCTTCTATCTCAATTGGTTTTGCGTTTGTGATACTGCTTAAATTAATATCACTTAAAGATTTATTGGCTTGCAAATTATTATCTGAACTATTCTCGACGTCTGTTGTAAGGTTTCTAGATTCTTTTGTTATGTTGGTTTTTAAATCATTGTTTTTCTCTTTGGAAATGTCTGAAGTGTTCGTAGGTTTTTGAGCTGTAGTAACACTCTTTTCTGATTCTTTATTGCTGTTCGTTTGAAAACTTTCTGTTGCTCTATTATTGTCTCTTAATTCCGGGCAGACTTCTGGAGTTATACTCGTAGAGTTAACCCGTTCTAGCTGCTTACACGTATGTATTTGCTTTGAGGAATTTTCTCTCGACTTATTTTGTTCTGTACTTTTTTTAAAGCTCCATGAAGCTTTGTTTTCTTTAAACTTAATGAATTTTTGAGATGTCAAATTTTGTTCCTTACTTTTAGCAACACTTTTATTACTATCTTTATCAGACTTTTCTGTTTCTATTTTTCCATTTTTATCTTCGTTTAAGTCACAGTTTTTATTTGTTTTGTCATTAGCATTTTCAGAAACACCCTTAGGCAAGATCTTTTTATAGGCACGTTTTGGTGTTACTTTGATCTTATTTCCCGCTTTTTCTTTAGATTTCACTGGATTTGCTTTCAGCGGTTTTTTTCTCGGAGATGATCTCACTACAGCGGTTTTGGCTTTATAAGTCGAATTAATATTTTCTGTTTGCTTTGAATTACCCGATTTTTCTTTGTTCGGCACTGCAGAAACATCTGTTGAATTTGTGCATTTTGGTGATTCAAGGGAAGTTTTGTTTTCTCTAGATTCCGCTTTTTTATCAATCCTTGCTGTTGTTGGTTTATTATCTTTTTTGGGGGTATTAAAAGGTCTTCGCTCTAGCTCGTTAAAATATGGCGAACATGAATTATCTCTTCGTCTTGCTGGTTCATTTTGCCAGAAATTTGGGTTGGGATTGAAGCTATTGCAATTGTATTCGTTTGACCAATCATTATAATCATTTGACCAATCATTATATTCGTTTGCCCAATTGTTGCTGCTATTCCTATTATTGGGTCCGTTATTAAACCTATTTTGGTTCCATTGATTTCCGTAATAGTGAAATGTGTCCGCGCGGTTTTGATACTGAAAATGTTTTTTAAATGTTTAAGGAATTTCAAATAAATATTTATTCTCCTATAGCTGTAAGAAAGTTTGTATCTGTTACCTTATTTCGTGGTCCGGGTATAAATTCTCTATGTGGAGGACCACAATAGTTAAATCGACGACTGTGAAGTAGAAAACAGAAACGAAAATTAACATAAGTTCATAGATATATTCAACAATTATATGTGGATACAAGAATTAATGTATGTATGTAAGTTCCATGCCCAAATATTTGGGATAAAAATGACACAGAGCTACTGCAGGGTACTGGCTTTCAAAGGATTCTGGATAACTAAGCGGCTATAAAGGCCTTAATTTACAATAGCACGAAGTTGGCTGTGAACGCGCTATATAAAAAAAGGCGATAAAAATACGGGTGCCAGGTTACAGGTTACACTTGACAAACCGGCTAAGGAGGGTGTGTTCTTTGAATAAATGAAATGATGAACGAATTTACCAGTCCCATTCAGAGAAGTGTGGAAGAGACACAATAAAGAGTATAGCAATGCAGCTTGGTTATATGCAGTGATCTGGCAACAATATGCACGTATTATCGTCTATGTGAGATCCGTTGGACGGCCAGTTCAACCTAACTTAATCTAGACACAGTCAGAATTTTGGAAAAATAGATTTTTTTGCTTTTTCGAAAGTATAAGTTCTGTGAAAAAATTTAATCGAATTCTACAACTATTTTTCAAGTGGTGCAACAATGATTCTGGATTCTGTTACGTACAAATTGATTTGCTTAAATATGAGCATTTGATAAGTGCATGAGAGGTATCAAAACTATAGCTCTTTTTTCTTAATCTTTCCTATAATGCAAGACAAGATTTTGGTAGGATTTGTGCGGTACCGGCAAGCCACTTCTTTTGGAACGGGTTTAACTAAAAGAGCCATACTCATATTGGTTTTTTTTTTTAAATTTCAATCAAAACAGTTATATCATATTATTATTTTTCAAAAATAAAATTATTTCTTTGTAAGAAAATTTGGAAAGTTTTTTTCATGCCTCTGACTACCCCAAGCCAATTAAAAGATTTCTATTCGATATATGTATGTATGTACGTATCCGCTTGTACAAAGTGATACAGTTAGAAAACTTAAATTCTGCTTAAGAAAAGGCATTTCCACAAAAACAAAAAATTACAATTTTTGTTTGCTTCAAAATTATAAAAGAATAATTAATGTAAAATTTCAAATCCTCCAAAACTCTCCTCATGCCTAGTGTCTATTGGTACGTGAGTACTCCGAACGCACCTACTTTTACACACAGGAAAATGTGAAGGCATGAAAAGAAAACAGGCATAAATAAAAGAAAAGTTGGTAAATTTAAAATTTATAACCTCAATAAGTCTGTGCAATATGCCAGTTGGAGAGCTTGACGTACGCAAAGCTCGAACTTTTAAAATGTCGTTACACAAAAGCAATGTTTTCACGTACACAACCACAAATCTCCGTTCATTTGCACCTTTCTTACATAACTAATTAAAAATTTCGCTGTGAATACATAATTTGACTATAAGACGACTTTGCCTTAAAGCTGCAATAATTAATGGATTACTTGGGTGAGTACAAAATTTACAAGTATACACAAACAATAAAGTATTATCTAAATTGTGGGGTCCAGAATGGTTTAACTTTTAAAGAAATCAATATTTCAACTAGCATTTTCGTAATCTAATTCAATTTAGTTTTAGGTGAGACTTTTCGTACAAATTCTTGTTCTCGGTAACTCCAAACAAAGTTGAAACAATAGATCACTCAAACGACGGCCTTGCAAGCTTCCAACCGTTTGAGGAAATTTTCATCCACTTTTTGAGAAATATCGGAAAGTACCTCAGCCATAACTTGACGAATGTTGGTTTTCAAGTGCACAAGAGTTAAAGGTTTATCCGCATAAACACGGTCTGTCACATAGCCCTATAAAGAAAATGCTGACGGCATCAAATAGTATGATCTTAGTGGCCAACTGACATCGATAAGACGAGATATTACGCGCCCGAGAGATGTCTCTCAAAATAAAGCTATATTCGTTCGTTTTGTGTGGCATATGACATCATTTTGTTAAGACCACATATTGTTCAAATCGTGTTCTTCAAACGCAGGCCAAAACAAGTCGGTTATCATATGGCCATAACGCTCCGAATTGTCGTTTTGAAAAAAGTAATTTCCAATCACAACTCCGGACCAAAGAGCGCGCAAAACGAGTGAGAAATGTGCCTCGTCGCTGAAGAAAAATTTTTTTTCAAGCTACCCAATTGCCTTTGTACGACATTGTGAATTGTGGTTGTGTGGGCTTAACTTTATATGGTGTTCTGGGCAAAACGATGAATCGCAGGCCATCCAACCTATCTTATCTGTAATTTATCTTTCTTCAAATTTTTTTAAAATTTTACTAATTGCTTGAGTAGATCGACGATTATGCGCACCGCAATCTCAGCTTAAAACACGAAACTTGGTCCCAATTCAACGATTCAAATTTTAAACGATTTTAAGGCGTTATGAGGTAGTTAAGCGATCCATTTTCATGAATTTCTCACTTTTAACCAAAACAAAACGTGTTTTGTCTGACAATAAGAAGTGTACTCTATCTATTAAGGGATAAAAATCTAAATAGGACAACATTGCAACGGGTTATGCGAAATTTTATGTTGAAAATAATGAATTTTCTCCTCGAGCTTTATGTGGAACCAACTATAATTTATAGCCTATCAAATACCAAAATAATTTGCAAAACGGACAACGTGGTAATGTAATACGCGGGATTAGCGTTGAAATCAAAGAATCATTCCTCTCTTACCACCACTTTGGCTCAAACTTTTTTGAACTAACGGTGGGACTAATTTTCATATGCCCTTAAAAAAATCGTAGCCCACTGTAAAAAGTTAGGCGCGGTTATTCATTAAAAAAATACACGCCATAAATTGAGAACCAGCGGGAGATGATATAGACTGAAAACATTGATTACCGTTAAACAAACTCAACGACTGCTGGGCCGCTGAGTAAAATTTGTCGACAAAAAGAATACTTGGGCGACTTAGTTTCGAAACGGTAAAAGTTTTCTACGGAATTCTTTTCAAAACGATTATAAAAATTATTTAAAATCTGAAAGTCTTCAAAAAACCAGAATCTTACGATGGCTAACCAATTTCAAGATATTAGATTTTTGTTACGTCGGATCTCTCAGTTGAATCATAAGCCAAAGTTTTAGAAATAAGGATTCTTAATGTATATATAAAAATTTTTCACATACATATGTACGCATTCAGAAGTAAAAGCTTCACCTTACCCAAATATTTAAAAAATTAATATGCAAGAAACGTTTGACCAAAAGTGAATATATTTGCTGGGTGTTGATTGCAAAAGGATTCTTCTGCCAACCGAATTCACACGCATATTCTTTTGGATACTTAAGAAGTGGTTTGTTAAAGAACACATACCGTAAGTAAGTATATGGCAGACAAAGGGTGCAACCTCCACACTCGTGACACGAAGAAGAATTTTATTTTTTTTTAAATAAAAAAAATTTATATAAAAAACTGAAGTCTACCAAAAGGACAGTGTTTAATGAACTCATAGTCATGAATGTGTGTGAGATGCAATCCAGTAGGAAATTCACTAAGGTGGGGTAAAAACTGATTAGACATTGGAATACTGTCGCACAGCGAAGTCAATTAAAAAGTCTCTGTCAAATACGTGACTAAAAATATTTCTTAAGGGGAAATTAAATTCTACAATAGCAAGTAAAATACGCGTAAAAGGTGTGCATAAGTATGCTTGCCGCTTGACATTTCGCGATGCTGCACAAACACTTGACTCGGAAATAAGTGTTGTGAAGCCGTCGAAGTTTCCACACAAATATTTTGCCAACAATGTAAGCAGACAACTTAAAATATTAGCCATTGCTTAAGTTCTATTAAACAGGTGAAAGCTAAAATCACAATGAAAATTAAAAGTACAACAAAAATGTTAGCTTTGCAAAGAGTTGGCGGCATACGATGTTGTTGCTTGATTTTGTAAAAATTGTAAAAGTTAACTTGCCACAAAGCGTGTGTAAAGAGCGTGCAACAAACACCCGAGTTGACATTAATTTTGCGTGTAACATTGAGTTTTATGATACTCATAAATAGGAGTACGCAACTCTTCTGCCGATTGTATGTGTATGAAGAAAGAACGTTTACAACAGTTCAAGGTGGGGGAGGTAAACTCACAGTCGTACAAATTATAATACGGAACAGTGTTGGGTGGTAGTGGGGCTGCCAATGAATTTAGCTTGTCGTCAGAAACTAATTGTTGCTTGTGCGTAGAGTAATGTTTGGCTTGATAATATAATGTAACTGTTGTAATAACAACAAAAAAAAAACAACGTATTATAATACAACGAATATGGAAGAAGGGTTGAAGTGCAACAGCTTGCGGTAATTTTCAACTTTGTGAAACAAGTGTTTTCTCATTTTGTAGAATTTAATGAGCGCAACATTCTCGACAATATTCTTATTTTGGGTGGGAGTGACTGATTTGACTCAAGGCAGCGCATAAGAGCAGGTAAATATCTAAATTGACAATATCTGTTGTTCCACGTGTGCACGCTAAAAAAGATACGTAATTAAACATTTGTTACGATTTTTTAATTACTGCTTAATTGTTTTACGTAAATGTATCTTTTTCTCCATGTAATCTAAAGATTAATTAAAGATATATATTTATACAGGTATTAGAGTTGGGCTCCGGTATACCGCACCTACAATATAGACTTGTGGTTTTTAAAGGGAATACATTCTTCGACAGCCGCTGCTTGATCTATACTCAGTTTGGTTTGCCATACCATAACGAACAGAGGTTTGCAAATCGTGCAAATTAATTAACAAAATAGTGTTCTGGAGCGGAGTATCGAAAAAGACCCGAATAAGATCCCCGCCGTCGGGAGTAGAAAGAAATGATAACGTTATAGATTAATTATTAATATTTTTTTTTGGCCTTTTCTATGGTTTCAACAATACTGGGCTACCCATACAGCTAATGAAACAATCAATCACAGAAAAAAAAAATAAATTAAATTAATTATGTAAGTGAACGTTGAACATTTTCAGCATACAAATATTATCATAATTATTTGGTTGAGGGTTTGTGTTAAAACGTTGTCTCATGATTTTTTGTTATTAAATATTTTTTTCAATTTGTTATTTCTGAAGTCCATTGAGAGGTAAATCCATAAAACAATTTGATCTGCAAGTTTTTTTTATTCTTTTTGAATTTTATTGTAGAACAAATTAGTTTCAATATTTTTCAAATTTAATTTAACATAGAAAACTTCCCTCTTCATATTTTTTTATTTACTGTTTCATAGGAATCCGAAGGATCTCAAGCACAGAAGCCCATCATCCTTCGTGCTAAAATCATTAAAAATGATGCATCAATGAAATTTCTCTTACGGACTATTGAAGAGAAGTTGTTTCAAATGAATACGAAAACAATTTCAATTGAATGTCTTTTAATAAAAAGGAATGCTGGGCTGCTACACTTTTAGATAAACCGGGAATCGTTAACAATATTTTACCAGGTGAGCGAATTTGGAGAATCTTAACATTTATCTTCAGGAGCAGCAAGGCAGAAGCTTTAAGGCGAATTTGCTATGAAAAGCGTATTAACTGTATTACAAACAGGCCGTGGTAATTGGAGTTCGGAGGTAAGGATTCCTCATTATCCATATGCCTACCTTGCTATGGGCAATGTTAGGGTTTGATGGTCTTTCCAAGATACTGATGTCAAGGTAATTGATGTAATGAGGAGGAATGATGAAAGAATGAAGCATCGAACTGCTACGACTGTAAAGCCTAATTGATGGGAGATTCCACATCACAACGACCTCAATCTGGCTTAAGAAAAATCGATAACTTCACCTAAAATTTATGCGATCACTATGAAAAGTATCATTGTAATCATGTAACAATATTTGTTGTTTTTCTTAACAAACCAAAAACAAATTTTATGTGGGAACCAGCCGTCAAATGCGTGGCTTGTAAGGTGAGCGCCAACCAAATGTTACACGCTTAATCACATACTCGCATGTCGGCAAGCAGAGCAAAACCAAAATGAGGCACAGAAATGCTTATGTTAAGAAGAAATCCGAAGGGAGTTGCACTCAGTATGTTCACAGCCAAGAAACAGCATGGAAGTTTAAAATCACTTGTTGTGGAGTAAACATTTGTATATTATGCACGAGTATGTAGCTAAGCTAGGAAGTTATGTAGATGCTCTGGTGTAGGCAGTATGAGTTGACTTGTTTGTTTGATAATAAAGCAGCAATAATAGCAAGAACAATCACCAATACTCGCACTCGTTTGTAGATGACACCCAAACAACGGTTTGCCTTCAGCGCACATACTCGAATATTTTCAACTTGTTACAGTGTTGAACTCTCGAGGCATTTGTTTCTGCTATTGGGTGGCCAGGCGTAACTCCATGTCATTGTCGTCAAAACACACAACGAAGGACGAAGTTCGAAAGTTGCTTTTGTAAACAACAAATAAACGATGACTGGAGTGAGCCAGTCATTTTCAATGTGAGTTTCCGCCTGCAGTGCACAGTGTTGTAGTTTCCTAAGTCGAAAACAGAGTGTAAACTCAGGTGTTGAGAAGTTTTTTTTTAACTTATCGTAGGTAATATAAAAAAGGATAAAAAAGATTTTTGTGAACTCAAAATAAAAGCGTACAATTATCATAATCATTGTGTCGTATTCGAAATAATACTCGATTTAAAAATGGTAAAATTAAGGTAAATTGGGCGTTACAATGGAATTTGATAGAGTACGCATCCTGGTTCACAGAAAAATAATAGATAATCAAGCAGTGTCAAACTCTTCGAATATATTTCCGACTTGAATTTCAAGATGGTGCTAATAAGATTTTTATTCGATTTTTTCGAAGACTAAAAATAATTCTTACAGATAGATCTCTCATGGAACGAAAATTTCTCCACAGAATCATGAATACGATTTTTTTTCGAATAGAAAAGGCCCGAGGTCCCAATTCCACAAAGAAAAGCTATCCATATGTTAAACAAGGCAAATCGCCATCTATGTTCCAGATATTAAGCAAATCGAACCATAAATAGGATTTTTCCGAATGAATCGGTTACAGGTTCATTTTCGGAAAGAAAAGGTATTCACGTATTAACCGTAGCAAAGAGTAATCACTTTCCGTTGCCCATATTAATTTCAACCAAAAAAAAAAAAAAACTCTGCACCAAATTTTATGGAAATCAAACGATAAATAAAAATTCTTCAAATAGATCAGTCCAAGATCCACATCCCGGAAGAAGGAGTTTTTCCCAAATGAACTTCGACCGTATCTAGGTAGCAAATTCCAAGTAAATCGGACAATTTAACAAGAAATTCGGTTTTTTCTAGAATAGATCGGTTCCACTTCCATATCCCAGAAAATCATTTTTTATTGGATGCCTACATCGTACGCAGAAAACAATTTGCCAGTCACATGAATCTAAGATTGCTGTTTCAGGTTGTGGGTTGGTCCTTCAGTCATTCAGGGCAAAGCCTTTTATATAAGTATACAGATTTGGTGAAATGAGTAAGCAGTACCCAGCAAGATACTTTATTCCCGGTGAACTAAAAATCCTTTAGGTCTCACCATTCTAAAAAAAACCCTTATTTTTACATGCTTTTGCACCACTGTGCGCCACCAAAGCGCTGTAATGTTTTCATTTAAAAATTAAAACAAAAGCCGTCGTCATAAATAGCACGTCATGTATCATTGACATATCCTGCGCTACTCGACCACCGCAATTGAGCTATGGTACATGTATGTTTTGTAAATATAAATATACTTTTTATATACATAAATTCATGCACAAAACAATTTCTCTCTAACCAACGATTCCCTGGGATATTGAAATTTTTTTTATTGTTTAATTGCTTAACAGTCAAGATGAAAATGAAAAAGCGAGCGAACGAACAAACATTGGCATATTGTCTGATTTATAACTTCTGCCATGAAGTTGGCCGGAGCAATGGGTGGCAAACGTTAGAGGTTGAGATTAGGTTAATGGAATTAAGCGCCGTGGATGCATTGGAGTGAGAAAAATGGAGTGATGCATAAATTTATTGGTGATCAAATGTGGAGTTGCCAACGTACTTCGATGGTGAAAATGATTCAGATGAAAAGAAAAAATATCGAGGTGTTTTAAGAATCTACAAATTAATGAAAACTCAACTGGCCTTAGGAATGCTGGATAACAAGAAAGCACACAGACAGAAAATTTACATAACTCATCTAATTACATTCAATTCCATCCAATCTGCTTAAGGCTGTGACATTGTGAGCTTCTTGGCCTTACAATACATGAGGAAGTAAGTACTGCGCTAATTGAATGTGCTCCATCGATCTTCAACGGCGAATACCGCTTCTGAAGATCAACTGCTGTTAAGAAAAAAAAAAAAATTACTCCAGGATAGTTTCATCACTCATCTATTCTATAAAGTGAAGATATTGTTTCGGTTCTCTTTTCTTCAAAAAGTAAACAAGCAAGAAGAGAATTAAATATTAAGTATATATGTATATGCCTTTAATATTTTTTAATTTTTAGTATTAAATATTAATTCTCATATTTGGACAAATCGGTTGTATGGCTGCTATATGATATAGGCCTCTGACTTCGATGATTTTCGGTGTATATTTGTACATTCGTGAGTACAATACTAAGTTTCATGCCTTTAGATGATTTTTTGACCGGGTTTTGACCAAAGCCTGTTTTCTCAAACGTTATAATTGTCCGATTTAATTAATTTCCATTTAGTAATTGATTATAAGCGGGTAGAATACCAAATTTCACGCTCTTAAATGTTTTTTTGGAGATTTATGGAGCAAAATCTAAAAGATCAGTTGTGTATATGAAGTGATGCGATCGAGCCGGTTCCAACAAATGTTCATTTAAATGTACCTAGTTCAGTGTACTGTGATGGACAGATAAACGTGGCTAAATCAACTCAACGCGTCATTCTGACTCGATCGGTATGACTCCCTCTGGTACTCACATACCTCGGACCAAAGAAAGAAAAATTTTGAATTAGATGTTAAAACAAATTTTTAACAAAAAATAATGATTTACTGTAGGACTTGCAGTATTTTTTTTATGGAAAATTTTCCGACTTGCCATACGCAACACTAAGAGAAAGTGTATGCAGCGCTAATCATCAAAGTTGGTTTATTTTCTAAAATAAATTGGAATTAAATTACTGAAGTACAATATTTCTTACTTCATTAAAAAAAGTGTGTCGATTGTGTAAAACAAGTTTGAATTTACGGAATATTGTGCTGTGAGTGCATGATAAAATGATTGTGATGTGCATTTCAATTATACGCCTGACAGCCAATGGTTTTGCGCATGATCAGCGATATTTAGATTTAATGAAATTATTTAAACTACTTAGATAACGGTAAATTATTTTGAAAAAAATACTTTTAACATTATAACGGGGATGTAGCTCAGATGGTAGAGCGCTCGCTTAGCATGTGAGAGGTACGGGGATCGATGCCCCGCATCTCCAGGTGATTTTTTTTTTTTTTATTAATTTGTACATATGTATGCATGCATGTACAATTTTTTTATTACTTATTTTTAGAGCATGTATAACTTCAATTATTGTTTTTCTAACAAAATTATCAAAATTCGTTGTTATTGAGATAATCCGTTTCATTGTATGAACGATCTTTTACATACAATGTGGATCTAAAGGAAGAAAAAGATAGGTGCAAACCTAAATTTGTTTCAGTTTGGCATCAACGGGGATGTAGCTCAGATGGTAGAGCGCTCGCTTAGCATGTGAGAGGTACGGGGATCGATGCCCCGCATCTCCAAATAACATTTTATTGTACCACATAATTATTTTATTTTGAATTTTTTATTTAATATTTATTTAATGATTTAGAGCTTGTTAAATTTTTTACTTTAAGCAATGATATTCCTTATACGTATATGCAAAATAAGTCACAATGGCAACACTTTTTGAAGACATTTGCTATTGCTTGAATATTCATTACTTTTAAAAGGATAAACTTCCATGAAGAAAGAAAGCTTAGCGACGAATAGCAAACGAGTGTGGTAATAAAGTTGCTGTCGTCTGCGGAATTTCTCATATGTGGTTAAAAGGCGAAGGAAAATTTACAACATTAGTTACTCAATAGAGAGGACATGAAAAGAAATTGATATGTAAACATATCTATTCAATGTACAAATGTACAAAAAATAGACAAAAAGTACACAAAAAGTAGAGAATAATGTTAAAAAATATGTATGTATATAAAAAAATAATTAATTTTTCAAAAAATTACCGTTACTTTTGTTTGGAGATGCGGGGCATCGATCCCCGTACCTCTCACATGCTAAGCGAGCGACGAAGACACTCCTTAATTGATCAAGCACCTTTTAGAAGCACAAAAATTTCCAACAGCTGATATAAGTAAGGGGTTTCCAATAAGATGTGTTATTTTGAATAGTTTGCTATTCCGGTAGATGTCATTTTGTGGCTTTAATTTTTTGACACTTGATAGATAAATGAAAAGGACGCCAATAATAAAAATAGAACGATACGCGCTTCGACAATGCATTGAAGTGACTATAATTCACTTGAAGAATTCCGACGAAGAGTCATTATTATTGTGACTTGGAAAAGCCAAGATCTATTGTTAAAAAACCTCTCCATCCTCAACGTTTAAATATTTGGTGCGGTTTATTGTCCGGCGGGGTCATTGGACAACGGCGCTACGAGGCACATAAGCAAAAAACCATCGATATAAGGAAAAACTTTCTTCGAATATCAAAATAAAACCTCTTTTTGGAAAACTCTTTTTATCCAAACTTGGGTTATCGTTCTCTGCGAGAAAGTTTTCTAAAATACTCCTCTAAGCTGTTTTGATAACATTGGTGTTGAAAGTTATCGAAATCGGAAGATTATATCATATAGCTCCCATACAACAGATTTTTTCAGATGTGAGGTGTTGGTTCCAAAATCGGTCAAAAAATCATTTAAGAGCATGGAATTTTTTATTCTACATACAAGTATACAAATAAACATTGATATCAAAAATTTTCGGAGGCGGAAACATAGCCCTCTAAATGCAGTTCTTCTGATAAAAGAATTAATATTTAATCTAAAAATGAAATAAAATTAATTTCATATGTTGATGAAAAATATAAAGATTTCGGCGCAGCTTTAGACAACTATTCTTTCTTGTTCTAACGTTATTTAAAACTAGAACAACAAGATTAAAAAGAGTTTACCTCAAGATACATATCTCGAATTTTCAGCACTATTCTTGAACTTTGCGAATAGCCTCTGGTTCATTTTCAAACGAATGTCAACATATCTCACAAGTGAATATTTGATATACAAGAATTATTAGAATGCTGTTAGTGTGGAAATCAAAGAGTCCTTTATGGCGATCTGGAGGTCTTTCTAACCATACACTTCAGGAATTTCTCGTTGAGTTTACAATAAATTGTATTCATTAGCTTTTTTCATGCGATTTCCAATTAATTTTTAAATTTATGAATATTTCATTTGACTGAAACCTCTTCAAACAGCAAAAATATCACTTATCAATAAAGGTAAAAAATAGGATTGGTACCGAAGTTATTCGACTTTACTTTGTACTAGTTGGATTCGAAAGAAAATTTGCTCGTTTTTGAATGATATGTACACTCATG